AATCTATATAATTCAAATTTAAAATAAAATATAAATGTAAATAAAACAAATGTTAATTTTTATTATGATGGGAATACTATAATTATTAAAACCTTATTTCTTATCAATATATTATTTTAAATAGATGATGTCAGTAAAAGAAATTAAACAAGTACAAGATGATAAGCAGCGATTGACTGAACATTTTATAAAAGTGTTACCTCCATTAATTGATAAATATAGAGCAGATGCAGACAAACTTATTAATTTGTTATCTATACCTCAGTATTTTGATTTAGATATTTATACAACATCAAGACAAGAATCTGTAAGTAAATTGTTATGAATAACTTTCTTTCCTAAATTTTTTTATCACATTTAAATAACTAAACTATGTTTTTTTTTACATTTTATTGTTACTTCAGAATTTAGATTTATTACTTAAAAAAATACATTTGGTAACTGACAAACATCAAAACGATGAAGTTCTTGAAACTTGTGCCAAAACTTTAGAAATTCTTTGTTCAAAAAACAATTCTACATTAGCTACGAGATGTAGTGTTCAAAAAAGTACACTTATGGATACTATTACTAATAAACACAGAGAAGCTATGGATGATTGGAATAATCTTATTGAAGGAGTAAATTAATTACTTAAATATTTGAAACCATTATTTATTCAATCTTTCTAAAACGTAAACATTTTATTTAGAATGAAAAACCTGACGATGATGAAATCTACAATGTGGTAAATAGTATGAAAAAAATTTCTATATTTTATTCATGTCATAATTTGGGACCTTGGAATTTATGGGATATCATTTTCAAAGACTTAAAAATGGCCCACGAAGGTTCAAAACCATTACCAGAAGAAGTAATTTAATATTTGTAAAAAATTTTAAATTTAATTATTTATCAAATAACTTTTTTTCTTGTTATGAAAGGCTATCAAATATAGCATTTCTGCGTGTATGTTTGCTACAATGTGGGAATTACACAGTGTCGAAAATATTTTGGAAAATGGACGTAATGAAGATATAGAAGAACAAGTAGCCCAAGTTAAAACTAAACTCTATGATTTCATGGATGTTCTACGAGGAATTTTGGCACATTCTACTAATCCTTTATTCAAAGAAGAGGTAATTTTCCTTTATTATCTTCTGTGAATCAAAAAACGTTTTATTTTAATAAATATTGTTTGAATAGGCTTATATATCAATATGTGACTTGCTTGTCGTTTTTTGTAATCAATTGGGTGTTAAACAATATCCAGTCTTGGGAAATCTACTTTATGATTCTGACAAGGAACTTCAAGACTTATTGAATAATTTTATTCAAAAAAATGTGTTTGTTTATGAAGAAGAAGGTAATTAAATTAGTTGTTTTCCAATGTATTTAATATTATGATATACATTTAAACTAATAAATATAAACTTATAATTAGGCGTTCAAGATGAGCATTCAAAAATTGAAGAACTACACAAAAGAAGGAACTTTTTAGCATCTTATTGTAAATTAATTGTGTATGGAATGATTCCGGTTACTTGTGCAGCAGATATCTTTAAACATTATGTCAAAGTATGAATTTAAATGTTATTATTAAATTGATTATTAATTGTTTTTATTTTTAATATTTAGTCATACAATGAATATGGAGATATCATTAAGACTACAATTGGAAAAGCTCGTGAAATTAATAAAGTAATTTGTGCAAGAACTATGGTTGTCAGTTTAATCACATCATTTAGAGAGCTCCAAATCAACTGTGGCACTTTCCGTATATCAAGATCTTCTCAGGAATTTAGCAGTTTAAAAGTGCAGTTTAACTTGAATTAGCATAACTGGATCTAATTTACTAAATAATTTTTATTTTTTTTTATTTTAGGAATTGGCCAAAAGATTTGCTTTATCATTTGGATTGGATGCATTAAAAAATCGTGAAGCTATGGCAGCTTTACACCGTGAAGGTGTTTTATTTGCTGTAGGTACTGATGAAGGAATTGTTCAAGATGATCCATCAGTACCACCTCCACACGTCGCATTTTTGGAGATATTAGCTGAATTCACAAATAAACTACTTAAACAAGATAAACGCATTGTGTATGGATACTTTAAATTTATACTATTCTATAATAACTTATCCTAATTATTATTTTTATTATAGTCTTAATTATTTGGATAAACATATAACATCAGCAGTTCCCTCAAGTCGTAGTGAAGATTGGCAGCCTTGGGTAATTTACAGAAACAGCTTAATGCATGGTGATGCTGAACCTGGACCAGTTACTTCACGGCGAGCATACACACGTAGAAATAAAAAAGAAACTTGTGAGTAAACTAATTAATTATGTAATAGATTATAGTAATTAAATATTCATTACAATTATTTTCTAAATTTATGTTTAGATGATGATGAAGATGATGAAGGTTCAGATCAAGATTTTGGGTAATAAAAACATAGTTTTACTTAAGTTATATTTTTAAGTATATGAATTACTTTAATTTTTAATGCTTTAGCATCCATGCAAAGAATTATTTGATATGTATTATTATTGCAATCATAGTATGCTTTTTATTATTTTTAATTTATTTAATTTTCAATGCTATATTTTTATTTTTTATTTTTTTCAGTTACTAAATTTAAGCTGTTATCACCAATGTCATCTTGGAGTTTTTTATGCACCATTGTGTGTTCCTATCTTGTAATAAAATTTATTTTGCTATCCAATTTGTGTTTTAATTTGATTTTTGACTTTAGTTGATTTGAAATTTTTAATTTATTTTGATGTAAATCAATTACTTTTATATGAATATAAACAATGCATGCATTTTAATAAATGTGATTGATAATAATTATAATAATTTTTATTTTGGCTATGTGTTACAGTTATTGTTTATTAAATTAAATGTATGGTAAATATTTTTTTCAATGTGCATGAAATTTAGTTTTAATATATTATTAAGTATTACATTTCAACAATATCTTCATTTAATTAACATGAAGAAAAACTTGTAAATTATCATTTATATGGATAGTTAATTTGCAAAATGTAGTAACCTTACTTAATATGGTAAATAATAAAATAATAATGTTAATGTAATTAAAATAGTGTTATACTTTAATGATAATTCAAATATTTCTTTATTAATCATTAATTCATTTTATTAAAAAAACATAAAATTTTAAATATTAGTTTTTTGTTTATCTACTTATATATTTGATTATTGAGTTATGTTCAATAATTTCAATTTGAGTACAATCAGTTTTTTTATCAGTTAAAATTTGTATAAAAACTTACGTTCATATTAATAAATTTACTTGTTAGTTAAATACGCTAATCATAGTCAATTTACTATGTAGTTGAAATCAGATAATTGATTTAATCTTTTTTTTCATCGATGTTAACTACTTTTTGATACTAACAGAACTCCAAGTATACAGAGTGAAGCTCCAATAAAAAAAAGGCGATCAAAGATTATTAAGTAAGATTAAATGAACACATCCTCTTAAGTACTTGTTATTAAATTTATATATATATATATTTATTCCTCATTCAGATCAATAAGATCACAAGATAACCGCTCCGAATTGAACTCTGATGAAACTAATTGGTCAGATAGTACTGTAGCTGGAGGCTCTCGTCCAACACGCCAGTGCATAAATCGTTCAATACCATATCGTTATATTCAAGAAGATGATGAAGATGATGAATAAAGTGTAATAATTTAATAATTATAAACTCAAATTACTTTTAACTTCAGATGTAATTATTTTTTTAGAAATTTTTACATTATAATATTTAAAAAATACTATTAATTTTTAGTTATTATATAAAATATACTGTCTTAGTAATAAGAAAAATCAAAATTTTTTTAAATATAGTTTGTTATATTATTATTTACTCAGCAATCTGCTAATAAATTTAATAAAAATAACATAATATTTTGTCATTTTATAAATGAACATATCTTAAAATCAATTGAATTTGTCTTACTCTGAGATTGAAAACAGTCGTTTATTTTTAAATAATAAATATTTAAATACCCATACATTATTTTAAATAAAAAAGTTAGAAACTTAGTTTTAACTTAATGATACAGTATCTCGCACATGTGAAGTATACATCTTACATTATACACAGTGTCTTCTGTCCATATTCTATTATTCTATGTAATGTGTTTTAGTCACCCACTGGGTACTTAAGTATTTTTCATTTATTATAATTTAAGATTTTCAAAAAAAATATAAGATTATAAGACTCAATTAAAATATAATTAAAAATAATTAACAATACTTAATATAGCTAATTTTTATAGATAAATATGTTAGGTTTTATTCTATATTTATAATATTTATTATTATTTAAGTAACTATTTGAGTAATATAATAAGGCTTTTGGAGTGGATAATTTTATATAGAAATTACTAAGTGTTATAAATTAATTAATTTACAAATGGAAACTGCCAATAGAGTAAGTTTTTTTTCGAGTACTACAAATGGTTTGATTTAAATTTGTCAAAAGATTAATATTTTTTAACTTTTTACTGAGTTATGTTAGAGAAATAATTGATATTTATAATTTAATATAATACATAAAAATTAAAAAATTTATGTTTTAGACTTTTGGCTACATTTTTTAAATATAATTTTGATTTTAAGGCATATTAAAATAAAAAAAAATATTTTTCTACATAATCTAGAAAGAAGCAAAATGAACTATAAACTATAAATGAATTGAAAAATAGGGAAGTACCTAAACTAGTATTCCGTCAATTGGTTAAAATCACAATGTATATTAAATAATCACTTATGTTAGTTTATATTCAATATTTTATAACCACTAAGTAATTCAACAGCTGATATTCATTTTATACCTAAAATACCAAACAATAATATATAACATATATAACAAGTACAATAGAATGCAATAGAATGTATTTACCTATAATTTCAATAATTACATTGAAATGTTTTTGAGCATTAATAGAGTAATATTTCATTATATTAATTTAATTACAAATCAAAAAGTAAAATAATTTTTATTTAAAACAAATATATAAATTATCTACCAAAAATAGTTTCTATTATTCACAAATAGTTACTCCTAATTTTTTCCTTATATCTTCAATTAAAACTGCGTTCTCGATACTTAATGACCATGGAACTATATTGCTCTCATTTAAACCTGCAATAATAAACATACAATTCACTTATTCAATTGGAACTATTTCTAATTTATAACTTATATTTTGTAAAATTATAATTACCTTTCAGAAGACAATTTCTAACTTCTTGAATCTCATAGATTAATTGCACACTATTACCATAAACGGTTGATTTTTTCGTAAGAGGCACATCAATATTAATGTCAGTTCCATTTACAGAAATTTTAGTTGCTGACCAGAATGGATCATATAACTAACAATATAATTTTGTTACCATACAATTTAATAAAAGTCCACTTTTATTTTATTTTACTTTAATATTTCCTTTAGTGCCAAGTATAATTGCTTCATTGGGTAGTTCAACTTTGAAATGGCTTAAAAATGTAGAAATTCTGCCATTGCTATACTTTAAAATTACACTTGCATCCTTGTCAAACCCAGATTCTGTAAACTGTCCACAAGTGCCATAGATTTGTGGCTTTTCAGGGCCAAACAAGAATTGACTCATGTAAATTGAGAATACCGCTAACTCTAATATCGATCCTCCACTATTTCGCCTATACAATTTTTTCAATTAACTAAAAAATATTTCATTGACTTAACAATAACATAGGAACTATGTGATTCATTACAATTGAATTAGTGATTCGGACATCGGTGTACCAAATGAAGAAATTATTTGCAATGGTTCACCAATTGTACCTTTGTCAATTTCTTCTTTTAAAATAGTAAATGCTGGAGTGAAAAACATCCACATGGCCTCCATAATAAACAAGTTTTTAGACCTTGCAAGCTGAAATAGAAAGAAAAATGCTGTTTTCTCATCAACAAAATATTGAAGTAGATAAATTTACATTTAGCTTTTAAAACTAGACATATTAATATTGTATAAGTGTAATTACTTCAACGAGCTGTTTGACTTGTTTACTATTTTGACAGAATGGTTCTTCACATAAAACATTTTTACCATGTTCCAACATTAAACGACTGACGGAGTAATGGTGTTCATTGAGGATGCCCACATAAACAACGTCTGTTACAAATTACACATCACATAATAATTATACCTACCTATTGGTAATCATAATATATATATATATATATATATATAATATCATAAATCATAATTCATAACATTTTAAAGTTAAATGATCTTACCTACTTCAGGGTCGGTTGCCACGAGAGAATAAGAATCGTACGCCTTGGGAATATCAAACTGTTCAGCAAATTCTTGAGACCTTGCTTTGGTTTTAGATGCCACTGCTATGATCAAGTGCTCTGATCGTGGCAATGTACTCATGGCCACAGCAAAATCGTGGGAAATATTGCTAGTGCCTATTACTCCCCATTTGGTCGCCATCTCTAAAGGGTAATGTACACCTGAAATAGTTATGTGTGTCACGTGCACTCGACCGGCCTTTAATGATAGTAAAATACTTAAAACTAACGACTTACCACAAGTAATATAAATTTGTCAAAAGTAGATCACAAATGCGGCACGCCCAATCTGTTCGTATACTTAGTTCAGAACGAATTAATATTTCAGCAACGGAATCTCGAACATAGTATTATTATTATTATGTATTCTATATAACATGTACCTAGGTTAAAAATATTATACACTTGTACAGTTCACGAAAGTTTATCAATGTTAACAGTTAAGTCATATTTTTTTTAGACTTACATAAATTATAAAATATAATTGACTGATCGTATTACACTATTACACAACGATTTATGATTATTGATTATGTAATCTACATCGCTACTCACATACCTACGGCCAAAATACTCCAATAAAGTTGTCATTAAATTATTTTAGATTCTGAACGAACCTATGAATAGCATTAATTGGTTATAGTGTTATACAATAATTTTTATTTCGAGTATGCCGTACCTTTAAGAGCAGTAAAATGTTTCAATCTTTAACCTTGAATGTGATTTTTGGTAGCATATTAGGTCTATTTAGTTTAGTACTTAGTACCTATTTGGTACTTAAGTGACATTTTATAGACATTTTTAATTTTCAAAGTATTTAAATATTTTGTTGATTTATGTAATATGAAGGATATTCGGTATGACACCATTTTTGTTCAAGACTAAAAAAATTTGACAGTTTTTTAGTTTCTTAAAAATTTGTTTTTTATCGTAATTAAAAATATCGAAAATGAGGATTAAGAATTTAATATTTGATTTATACCTGTTTAATCAATATAGGTACCTAAGAATTTTTTCATAGGAATTAAAAAAAAAATCTTTAAATAATAGATAGGTACTGCAAAGTCACATACATTTTTTATAAAAGATTGAAGTTAAAATGTTTACATTGCAGCAGTTATCGAATTGTATTACTCCTCAAACAATTTTAATTATTTGTTATTATTCAAAAAATATTAAACGTAGAAAGTTGAAACATTCCACATTTCAATTATTAATCCGCGTGTGTTCGCGTACCTATGTGACTGCGTCATCCTCATAACAAAATTGCGTTCAGCAGTTTTTGTGTAGCACCCTTTAATAATGGTTTGAATTGACCTATCATCAAACTTAAAGGTAAAAATATTGTTTGTGTTTTCGTAAAGGTTTTTTACGATCTTTTAATTCTTAAACGAATTTACGAGAATTTTTAAATTGTAACATTTTATACATTTCACATTTTCACAGTTGAACTTACCTAAAATGATAAGTTACTCTATTGACTCTGTTATAGAGGACAGAGATTAAATTGAAACTGCTAAATATTGTACAAATATAATTGTGTAAGACGAAGACAATCTGACAATAACTACGTATTATGCGAGTGTGGTGTCGTTTTAGCCCTTAGGTTATCATTTTCTATGTACAATAACATGTTTAGATTTTGAACAGAGAAAAATGATAATGAATTATTGGTTTTATAAAGATACCTAAATGTTTTATTTTTGCGTTTTGTATTATTTTTTGAAACATTAAAAATACTTCCATTTTCAACTTTAATGATGATTTCTGGGAGCAAATTGAATCTAGGATCTAAGGGCCACTTATACAAATTTTGCAGAAACTTTTTAAATAACTGTGAAAAACAATAAAAATCAAGAAAAAACGGAAAATTTTACGCTAAACTAGTTTTCAACAAAATTAATTAAACTTTATAAGATTTTCTGACTATGAAAAAAAATAGTTCATCGGAAAGTTAAATTAATTTTTAATGAACTTTTGAAATTAAAATTTTTACAATATTATATATTCACCCGTAAAAAACTTTTTTTTATCAAACAACTAAATTGATTTCTTTATTTTTTCATAATTATATTGTGTATATTTAAAATTTACACAAAATATTTAGGTTATCATTTTCTAAATATGGTATAATTTTAATTCAAAGTATGATTTCTTGTGAACTATTTATAGACGATTAAAATTTTTACCAATTTTTAGATTTTTACTTTAAATATTTTGCACAATACGCTTAAAAATTAATAAAACATAAATTGATCTTATACTGTATAAAAATATTATAAAACATAAAGTTAGAATTTTATAAAAAATCATTAAAATCACATAAATTTACTAATTTGTATTTAAAAATGCATAAAAAAATTCTTATATTAAAATATTTAGTACAAGATTTCTTATAATATTTTAGTTTCATATTGAAACTAAAAAATCTTAAAATATGTATAGGTTACATACAATTTATTTTTATAGACATTTATTAAAATTTGTCTTTAATAAAACCTCGATATCCATTTGGGGGATAAACTATCCCAGTTATCCCAATTATTATTAACATTTTGATTGCGAATTAGCCTCTCTCCTCCAACATCATAGTTAATATGAAATAATAATAAATGAATATAAAGTTATACATAATATTATTTATAAATTAAAAAGTTGTAATAATGGCTTATATAGTTGTATATAAATGTATTAATATGATCAAATGAATAACTTAATTTGCGAAAAAATTCTTTTTTTCCCAATTATTTTGAAAAATACTGAGGATTTTTAATTTTTACCTCTCAAAAGTACGAACTAAATCAAATTTACCATCAGAAACCACCCATTTTTGTGGTTAACCAGGAGTTTATTATTACATTTAGAATTTTAATTTCAATACATTTGGTATCTTCCAATGATTTTATAGTTTCTACATAAACATAGCGGTGATCAGTGATTATTTATTTTAACCAAAATCTGTACAGAAAATTAATATTTTAGAATGCGGTTTTTTCAAAATTTATCAATCATGAAATTTATTTACATTTAAAAATAAATAAAATAATTAAAAATATATTCAAATTGAATAATGAAAACACAATTTCATAAATAAAAAAAGACAAAAATAAACTAGTTAAACCGTATAGCTGATGGGCTGATCAATTCGTAGTGTTCGTAGAAATGTTCACTGTTCACTGTTATGTGTATAAACATAATACATTTTTCCACCTGTTAAGCCTTTTTACGATAATACTGTTTATGAAACATTTATTTTTAGAATAGTAGGAACAGATATTTTTAGTTTTTTACGGTAATTATTCACATATTTTTTTTAAATATTTTAACATAATTTAAAACGTTTAGTAAATATTGTTTTAAAATTTTAATAAGCATGAAATAAATATCTCTAATTTACTAATTAATTACACGTGAATTAAATACATGGATTTTTATACTTAAATACAAATGGACGAAAAACACGTATTCGTGTAAATCTTAATTCACGTTCAAATTCGAGAGCTTTAAACTGGTTCTCAAAATTTTTACAAGAAATAAAAAAATAAAATATTAAAGTATTTACTAAATTTCAGTTGTATTTTATATTCAATATTTTGCTAAAGAATATTCATAAATTATTAAATTTTACCTCTGTATATTTTTAGATAAATTCTACAATATTTGAGTTTTATAGCAGTAATTAAACTGAACTAGATATAAAATGTAAAAATTGTTATTGTTACCAATTTGAATGAATAATACTAAACAGTAAAAATTATAATACGACTTGGACGAGAATGGTTAATTTTTAAATGTTTTATAAAGTATGATTTCTGTATTGTGTGTAAAATATAATTGTGTTTACCTATCTTTTTTTTTTTTTTTTTTTTGTTACAAACGGTAATATTATGAGTACCAGTCACTTAATAATAATCCTGTAAATTTTAAACTATTATATATTAAATAATGATCAGTAAACTTACACTATTTACTATTTAGTATAGTCGTATAGATTAAAATAGGGTGATCCAGCCTTTTGTTTTTGTAGTTAACTGGCCAATTAATACATTTATGAATATTAGAGGAAGGGGACTAAAATAAATAAAATATTTTAATTCATATTTTATTTTATAACAAACATAATAAAATAAAATTACTATTATATTAATATTTATATTAATATTTTATAATACACATATTGTCATACTATATAGAATACGTATATAGTCGTATAGATTATTATTAATTTTTAATTATAAATAATTAGGTTACTTAAATTTATTTAAAATTTGACGTTTTAATAATTTATTAGTATGATGATTGAAATTATCTGTGAGAACTTAGAAGCCAATTTTTCAATATCAATCAAATACCCTGTGGTAGTTAATTGTATGTATGATTCTAATTACAAATTGTCGATACGGTTTCTTAATTTAGACTTTACTAAAATTTAAATACATAGTAGAAAATGCTGATTAAAAAATATACGTGCTTTTAAATAATGATAAAATGTTAAAAGAAAAATTACATAATTTAAATTATAATTATAATGTATTATAATTTATAATAATATGTACTTACTATGAGGTTAACGGACTACGAATAAAAGTTAATAGTGGATAATAATTGTATATAATACCATGAACTAAATTATGATGATTGATAAATAAGGGCCAGCACTAAAGGTCTCCCACTCGGGGTATGCCCCCAGGGCACCTGCTTTAAGGGAGTGCCTTAATTATATTATAATTTAAACTAAAGCCATTATGCAAATATTATTCTATCCATTCTATGAATTATTCTAGTTAGAATATTTTAATATATTGATTACATAGGTATATAGAAGAATAGTAAAAAATGTTGTCAATCATCAGTCCTAATCGCCATTTACTTAGTATAGGAACTTAATAATTAATAAATAATAAGTACCTACAGCAACTGCTAACGGTCATAATAAGGTAAGAGTACGCGTATGAATCCATTATCCTAATGTTTGTATATATGTTCAAAATTAACGAATGTATACAATTAGGAAAGTCTTCGTTAGACAAAAGTTTATTATTGATTAATTAATAGTATTACCTTGCACCTTACGGCTTAACCTAATATTGGCGATTCAACGAGACGAAAAGTTTATACCTACCTTCAGTAAATTCAAACAATAGATTTCTTAGAAATTATAAAAGAATTTGTAGAATCAAAAATCAAAAGTCATCATTAACATTAAGAATCTTCTATTTTTAGATTCTGAGCGGAGCAATGTATTGATTTTACAAAATAATTTTTTCGTGTGTATGTGACATGTGTACACGATAAGATGTCAATAAAATGCTTCGATTTTCAACTTTAAGTGTTTAGTTTAAAGTTTAGGTTTTGAATAGAAAATTGATCTAAGTTGTTCTTTAGAGTTGTTAAAATTAAAAATTCTTTGATTTTTTTTAAAAAAAAATTTTGGTAACAAACAAAAAATTTAAAAAAAAAACGGGAATTTATACACTAAATCAGATTTTGATTAATTTAATTCCTATTGGACTCTACGTAATAACTTACAACAGCAATAAATATTGATACACAATTACAAAAATTTTCGAAAAATGTTCATGAAATTTCTGACACGCTAAGTCTATGACATAATGTTATGACTTATGACTTATTATTTGATTTATAAATTATATCAAAAACAATAAAACGTGTGATTGACTTATTATTAATAATTTTTATAGTATTGTTATTTGTTACCAAAATGTGCACACAAAACATAAATACGCACAACTGAATAATATATTAGGAATTCAGATAGTAAACTCGTCGAGTGCCAAATGGCACATTGGCACTCGACAAAACACAATTAATGTATTTATTTTATCTGTATCATTAAAAGGCAATGTATGCGTGCTGTCGGATAAGCGATCCACAGTTACGTCTATCGCACCAGTAGTTTTAAACTCGTGTATGTACTACACAATGGTTTACTTTAAAGTGAATTTTTAAAATTTTACATTTTACAACCAGGGCTAATAGGGATTTTTTGACTTCACGAAAAACAAATAATTTTTTTTTGTTTGCATAGTTTCCATTGGTTACACTGTTATAGAAAACAAAATAACGCAGAATATAATTAAAGCGTATTTCAATTTTCATTTCATTTTTCATTTTCATTTCATGTATTCCGTATTCCGTGAACATAGTTATTTTAATAAAATTGTTAATAATTTAAGACCTGTACAAGACTTATACAAAATGATCGTGTTAAGACCATCTGTAGTGCATAATACAGACCTAACGGAGTAATAATAATAATTAATACGGGGTAAATATGCCGGTATTATTTAATTTGTCACGGCGCAGTGCACCCGAAAAAATCTATTTCGTCGATATCGCCGCAGATTTTGGAAAACCGTTAGCCACTTAATCGAGGCGACAACAGCAACAACGTTATTATCGTTATACGTTTCTGTAATAAATATTATTGTTCATCTTGTACACGGAACATTTCATCTGTTCTGTGTAAAGAGCGCGCGCCGTATCATTGTATCAAGCGATAATCATATTTTCGTTTCACTATCTCCGGTCGGTGTCCTGTGTGATGTGTCAGAGCGGCCGTTACGGGACGCGACGGTGACGGTGCCCATAGAAAACGCCAAAACGGCGACTATTTGCCTACACAGTACACATCCGTTGCGGCGTTCGTTTTTGTTCGTTATCGCTCAAAACGCCTCTCCTCCACGCGCCGGCCCCACCATTGCACGCCCCACTCGCGCGCACACCGAACATCCGCCGCCGCCGCCGCCGCCACAGCAGCAGCAGCAGTCTTTGATTCTCGTAAAGTCGTAACACAAAATAGTAAATACAATATCACGATATTCATTATTCACTATTCACGGTGAATAGTGATAGAAGAAAAAAAAAAAAAAAAAAGTAAAAATATCGAAGACAAAAAAAGAAGACTGCGATAATACGTAAAGTCGAACGCGTTTCGTTTTTCCGACTTATCATCCCGTTGTCGGACTCGGGTACATCGTTTTGGACTCGTCACCGTGTTTTTGTTGTCCCTCCCGTTACCGACTTTTTTGTTAATACATTTTTATCATTTGTCCGCCGCCGTCGCCGACCACGACGATTAATTATTATTGCCGACGTTTTCGTCCCCAAACCCGTTGATTCTGTTATCGCGCACCACCTTTATCCGTGCCCGATAGAGTATCGCGTCGTCCCCTGGCGGTTGATTACCAACACGGATGTCCGTCTAAAAGGAATTAAAACCTCTCGCAAACGTGGCGATTACTGTGAAATCAAATTCTAACTATCGCCGCAGACGTCGTCTCATTGATGTGTGACGCCGAGCGAGATGATCGAAAACTGTAATGCGACAGTAGTTGAGTCTGCACATTAAGATTTGGCTTGAACATTCGCTGTCCTCTGTCATCGGTCCGTTGTAAATGTTCACTGGTACGTAAAACACTGTCTGTAGACCATGCTCGTCGTAAAATTACAGTCTACTTCTGTGGATGATATATACTCCATAGTCCATACACCTATTGGGCGTATGTGTCAGCTTCGATATTTTACTGTTTTTAACCACTAGTTGCTCAATATAATTTTTGTCAAATTGTTAAAATTGTTTCACTCCAAGGTAATTTAATATGCTTAGGTATGTGCAAGACATTTTAAAATAAATTTTGAATACCTTAAAAACAATGATGATTGTACATTTATTTGTAAATGTTAAATTATTATAAAAACGCTGTTGCATGTGACCAACTTGTTTTAGTATCAATAACAATTTAATAGGTAAATCACTAAAAAAGATAAAGATAGTAATAGAAAATAAATTCTTACGTATCTATTAAATATAATTTACACTAAGTGGATACCTACTTATTATTAGGTAAATTTATTTTTATGTTACTCAACAAATGTGTGTTTGTTTATTGTTTTTACAACTTAATAACAAAACTTTCAATAGAATTAAGAGCCATAAAAATATAGATATTTATGGCCTTATAGCTTCTCCGTTCAAACAATTTTTATTGTTTTTTCATTTTTACAAATATATTATCCATTTAAGTTCATTCTAAACACCTAGGTCTGAAGATTATATAATATACTTATCAATCGCGTTTAGGGCCAGTAAAATTTACTACTGTAAATATACATCATTGGAAAACTAAAGGTATGAGCAAAATTGAGTTGATTCATTTATATTTATATTTTGTTTTATTATTTGAACATGAACAATGTAGGTACATATGCAAATAAGAGTTAGATATTGAAAAATTACCTCAATTTTTTACTTACAACTAACTTGACTAGGTTTATAGTATCATTTTATTTAGCTGCCTTTTAATTCAATAATGGTATTATTGATATGATATTGTAAACTGTATGAGCATTACATTTCTTCTGGTTTTGTTGTCTTAAGAAATATATTTCTTGACCATAATTTTATTTAAATGTATTTAAGAAAAACTTCTTTTTTGAAGGCAATTTATACAAAGTGTTCATCTTCTATGGAAGAGTCGAGTAAAATACCAGCTAAACAATTACAATAAAAAAAAAAAAAATGTAAATAAATTAAGCAACTATCGCAATTTATAAATAAAAAAATGTATACAACTTAAGTATTTTAATATATAAAGTTGTATTTGTGCAATGACCTTAGTAGCCACGCCTGATATTAATGTCAATTACATATTAAAATATATTTAAAAACTTAAGTCATTAGCTTAAATTTATAATTGATTATGTATTATTTTTTAATTTTCAGATAATCAATCACTATGGGAAAGCTGCTTTCCAAAATTTTTGGTAACAAAGAGATGAGAATACTTATGCTTGGTTTGGATGCAGCTGGAAAAACAAGTATCCTTTTATGTATGATTCATATTCAAAATGATTATTGATGTTTATTAATTAACAATAATTTAAAATTCAAGTCATATAATATTAACTCTTACAAAATATATTTAACAATTTTAATTAATACCTACTATAGTTCTTTTTTATAATTTTAAACTAAATTACCTTAAGAAATTCTTCATAACTAATTAAGTTTGTTCATTGTAATTTTATGATAGAATTGATTGAGTAATATTAACTGAAACACATTTTTTATATTTATCTATGTTTAAAATGTTAAAACACGTACCTACTAACCTACTATAATACTTAATCTACAATTCATGTTGAATTATGTATTATAATATTTTATTTATGAAATTTAGTAACATTTAGAATGTTACTGAATATGAATATAAATATTGTTTAATAGCGATTAAAATGCATGAGCTAATCAGAATACTCGTCAGAATTTCAATTTTTTTTTCAATTTAAATAACCTCTTTATTTTTAACAATACTAATCAATAAAAAATTATTCAATAGTTAGACCATAATTAATATAGACCCTATGTACCTGTAAAGACTTTAATTATATATTTTAGTCTAAAGCTATTGTTACAAAATTAAGTCAAAGCTTCTGTTTCTTTAAAGAATTAATAATTTAATTTAGATAAAATTTCATATTATCATTTTGTAATATCTTAATTTAAGAAAAAAAAATTAATATTCATCTTATTTATAGATGTCAAAAACTTTAAAATAGACATTTTTCCTATTAAAATATATTAGCTATCTTGTACAAACTAAAATTAGGTCAATCTGTAACGACAATACCAACAGTTGGCTTCAATGTAGAAACAGTTATTTATAAAAATGTCAAAATTAATGTTTGGGTAAGTTATCATGTTATTAGTTGTATATAAATACAAACAAATGATAAATTAACAAATTAATCTTTCATAGGACGTTGGGGGTCAAGACAAAATACGTCCACTATGGCGACACTACTACACAGGCACACAAGGTTTGATCTTTGTAGTAGATTGTGCAGATCGTGATCGTATAGATGAAGCTAAGCAAGAGCTACATCGGATTATTAATGACAGAGAGATGAGGGATGCAATCATTTTAATATTTGCTAACAAACAAGACTTGACCAATGGTATATATTATTATACTTTTCAATTTTAAGTATACCCTGATTTAATGTCTTATTTTTTAGCAATGAAACCACACGAAATACAAGAAAAACTTGGACTAACGAGAATACGGGATAGAAATTGGTATGTTCAACCATCGTGTGCTACCACAGGAGATGGATTACATGAAGGCCTTGCTTGGCTCACATCAAATTTTAAACAATGATATCAAAGTATAACACAATATTATACTTTGAATATCATTATTAATTTTTTTAAGAAAGCTTAGGACTAAAAGAAATTCCAAACGTACAAATTGAGTACATTAATTGTTAATTATAAATAAAAGTGAACATCAATATTTAAACTAAGATGTCCATTTTAATAATAATTTCTCTGAGAGGACTGGCCTAATAAAATACTGAATTATTCACAATTGTTTAAATATTATAATTATAAATTGTATAATGTGTACTGAACAAAATTGTCATGCGCTAAAACTGCCGAACTATTTATTTGATGTGTATATTTGTAAATTGATTCCAAATCAGTATCAGTATACATATTAGCTTAAACAATAAAAAGTAAGCAATATTATTTATATATATACATATAAATTAATAAAAATAAAATATTTGTTCTTGAGTTTAGAATATTTTATCTTAGGCCTGTAAATTAGTATATTTAATATGTACTAAATATCATAATATTTTATACATAAATACAGTTCATAATAATTAGCATTTTATTTAAAAAAAAAAAAAAAAATTGTAATAATATTGTTTCATCTGTGGAAGAATCCTATTTTTTATTTTTATTGTTATTTATTATTTTGTACAAAATATTGAATAAATATATATAAAAAAATATTATCGCTTTCTAATTTTAATTTGTTTGGCAAAGTAAAATTTAGTAGTCTTCATACTTTTAGATCCTGAGTTGAATCCTGAATTTATTGATTTTATAATAATGTAGGTTTTTTTAATATAAACGTAATATGGAATAGACCAAATATATTTTATATTATCATTTTATAAATATTATACAATTTAAAAAATATTTTGGTACATTATTTTTTCAACTCTAAAAAGTTAAAAATGTAATACTATTATACTATGTTCTTTGAAAATACATTGACATAATATTTGAAATTCAATTTTCTACATGATTGGATATTGAAATGGAAAATTAGATTTTTTCACCAATCTATAACATGTAGTACTAATAAAATGATAATAGAAACAAGAAAGTAAAGACTTTAATAACTGTAAGTTTGAATCTCTATTACTTCTAGCACCGTTACAGAGTCATCATTTTAATTAGTAAATCAAATCTTCAATTAGAATTTTATGAAAAACCATTAAATAAAAAACTAATTCTAAGTAGACCGTCTCTGTCAGACTAGTTATAAGGATAGACATTTTATAATTTATTAGTTATTTTAGTGCAATTTATTAAATATTGATTGCAGAGAATTGGAACATTTTGATATTATTTATTACTGTGTATAGGTAAGTTCACACTTCACAATGGAATTTTCAAATTATCTATATTGCAGAGCTAATCATACTTTTTTATTACTATACAATGGCACAAATTTATTTAATTATAATATATATTTTTGGCTAAAAAAATTCATCCTTTATTGGCTTACACTATTATTAAATAATATAAATATGAATTAATTAAAAATGTTTATACATTTTTTAATATAGATAAGAATGATAAGATATATAGAACCAAAGAGGTACTCTGTGACGCTTATAGTTGATTTTGTGTACTTACCGTTGCATGTCTATTTGTATAATAATTAATAATTTAAATAATTGACAATTGACACATTCTATGTAGATATAGTTCTGAAATCGATAAATTTTTTTAGAATAATGTTAATTACGTAATTTTATTACTGAGGTTAACAGTTGTGTTAATTATAGATAGGTATACGTATATATTTGTATTTTGATTTATTTATATTTAAGTTTTTTTTTTTTTGTGTCCAATCACGAGATAAATACATACGTGGAAAAGAAGTTATTCCAAAACTATTCAATCATTAACTAGGTAACAAAAAAAATTCAATATTTTTATGTGATTACTGATTAGTAATTTTTTAAATTAAGATAATACCTATTCTAGAGCGGTTTTGAGCTGCAACAAATTTTGGAATGGATTTTTCACTTAAAAAGACTAGAATATGTATGAAATTAAATCTATAATTGTACATAAAAAAAAAATAACTAAAAAAACAATTGCACTCTTTTAAAACAATTAATATAATTATTCACTTAATGCTTCCTTAAATTTTTTATTACACTCAGTATAATGTACATTGCTATAATAAGTGGGAGGAGAAGAACAGTAAATACATCAATTAAATACGATTGATAAAAATTTAAGTGAATCTTTTGGCTTTTTAACAATTCTTTCGATTCATTCTTATTTCTTATTACATACTCAGTCCAGTATACTGCTGTTTCGAGAGGTGAATGCGGTCGATCATGATACAATTGTTGTAATTTTTTCATGTTAATCCTGAAATTAATAATAAAATTCGTTAATTAAAAATTTATTATTTATTAGATTTTCATACATATATTTTTCGGTCAATGCTTTATTAATAGCGTTGAAAAGTTGATCACTATCCAAATGTTTGTATTCTATAGCCACAGCCACTTCTTTTTCGATCAACAAATGGGTATTAAAAAATTGATCGCCAAATATTGGTATAGCTACTACTGGTACACCGCAGTGTATTGTTTCGATTACACTCATCGCACCAGCATGTGTTATAAATAATAATACCTTTGGGTGCGCTACAAAAAGTTTTAATATTATTTTGCTTATTAAAAAAATATATTATTTAGGTTAATTATATTTTTCGTCTATCTACCTAAAAGATCTCGCTGTGGGAACCATTTGACCACTTTTACATTCATTGGTGACTGTATTTTGAGTTTTTCAGCATCAAATTTCATAATAACTCTTTGTTTAAGTTTCGAGAATGCATCGAGTATGTTGTACAATTTGTCCGCGCTCAACGATGCTTCTGACACAACAGAGCCCAAACTGAATAAAATCACACCATAATCTGCATTATTAATAAAATCGTTCAGGTCCTGCGTATTCATCAATAAACAAACATTTAGGTGTCATTACATTTTTTAATTAAAAATATTATATTTCTGTATGATTTTTAATTACTTGCGGAACAGGCTTTTCGTCGACTACATGAATACCGCCAACCTCGACAATTCCTGGCAGTGCGGGACTGGGTAGAAACACGCTATGATAGTTATTTGTCATAATCATACTTAAATTAGCCAACGATTTTATAACTGATTCCATTTGTATGTCATAATGATGTTTGATAATGTCCTTAATTTTGAAGTTGTAAATTAATTGAAACATTATATCAATATATACCCAATTAATTGTATTTCTGATTCGCTGGAAAAATGACATATGGTCCCCGGAACTACTTGCGTAAGAAGGCATGTAAGACATGGTCGTCTCCATTCCCATCAGATCGTGTATCCACGGAAATGTGATCATTGGACAATAACCAATAATCGGTGCGTCTACAACTGCAGCAATCGGTGCAAATGTTGGTGTTGATGTAAAAAATTCGACAATCACCAAATCGAATTTTCGACCGGACTGTAGGAGTTTCACAACTGGCGGATGATTGATAATAGACGCATATATGTCGGCGTTTTTAATTACACGTAACATAAAATTAATTGGTCCGAAGTTGGTGGTCTTCAATTTCGAGTGCGGTTTCAATCCGGAAATGTCGATGTGTGATAAATTGGTTCTTTCCACAGTATCCGGGAAATTCGTGATCGCCAATATTTTATGTCCGCGATCCAATAAGCTGTAGATTAGAGGTTGAACAACACGGTAATGACTCTGAGCAGTCGTCGGGGATATGACCAGAATTTCCGACGACCAAGTTTGTTGTGCAATTACTAAGGCACAAAAAACCACAACGACGAACGATATTAACTTCATTTTGTTCTTCTCCACTTCTTTATTCACCCACAACTATTGGATAAACAGATTTTAATAATACTTGATGTAAATGATATAATTATTGCTGTAAAGTGTATAATAATTAATAAGTAAAAAGTATCGAGTTTAGATTAGATTAATATTTGTAGACTGTAGCGAAGAAAAATCCAGTAGGTAAGTAAAATGAATATAGTTTGTGTGCTCTGTAAGTAGGTATTTAACTGTATGTCTATAAATAATGTATACCTATCTACCAACTTACTATTTTTGATTCGTTTATTTTATGTATGAACTTCCAATATGAACCGACATAAAAATACTGAAAACTATATCTAGGTAGTATTTTGCGTATCTACTATCTATTGCGAATACGTTTGTATCATGGCCTAGGAAATATCCAAGTCGACCAAATCCGTGATTTGTACATACGATTTACCCATACTATTTACTAATATGATAATTATATAATCATAAATTATACCAAAGACTTAACCTTCAGGCTTCTATTCTAATTTCTCAACACGTGTTATTAACTGCACGAAGGATAATTATTTCAAACTACACGAATGTATTTTGCAAAAAAAATAAAAATGATCACCTTAAAATACTAATCGTGATTCCTTACATTAATGTAGTTGGTATACATGCTACTATTACTAATCTATTATACTTATTAGTCATTTTAATTTGCTTAATAGGTAGGTAGGTAGTTAAATAGTAGACACCAAGACGTGTGGATTTTCAAATACGTACGTATACGTATGTACAGATAACAGATGTACTAACCACTAACGGTTATAAAGAATCTTAAAAATACGTACCTATTTAAAGATATTTCATGTTTGAATAAATTGGATGCTGATACCTTATTGTGATATCCTCTGAAAGCAATTTGGTAATTAGTTAATAGTACAAAATATTAATTAGGTACTATTTGAAGTACATACCGAAAGCCGGAAAGCGTCAAGTCTTAATCAATGAACCTATTAAATCTTTATTGATTTTCATAAAGTTGAACTGATATCATCCTATTTACATTTGATTTTTCATAGGTACACGGTATACCTTTATGTAAGGTAATTGGTTATGTAATTTATCTATTCATATTTCATATAAACCATTAATAGTTTCTAGATGTCTAGTACGTGTTGTAAGTAGGTAGTATATAGGCACGTAAATATATTGCAGTTTGAAGAGTGGTTGGAGGCATGGGTGTGCATTTACACAGAAAAATAATATGATCTAAAATCTTATAATAAGTATTACTACTATAGATTATTATCTAATTACCTAAAAAGCATATAAATTATTTTTCTTATCACTCTAGGGATTTTAAATACAACATATTATACATAGTTACACATAGTCGTATTGACGATTTGGTAGGTATACGCAAGATCAAAAGTTTATTTAATTTATATTTTGAGATTTTTTATGACATATTTTGCCTCTCCCCCTAAAATTGAATCAATATGGGCGCCCATGGTTAGAGGATGACCACATAATTCCAAAAATGTTTTCAAAAAACAGGTTTTTTTAACTCGACCAGATAACTCATATTTGTAAAATTTAAATTTAAATTTTTAATCTGTGAACCCTTCTTCCGAATTTTTTTGTTAACGTGTCTAATTGTATGGTATGTTTATAGTTACTATTTAATGCTCACAAATATAACATGAATGATTAAATAATTTTAATATTAATAAAAATTAAAACTACGTACTTAAAAATTGAATAAAGAGTATAAATATAATAATAATAACAACTAACGTGAAAAACAAAATTATTGAAATCTTTTTTTTTTTTTGTTATAATTCAAAAACGAAGACTAAAATCTGCGAAAATTATTTATATTAACATTTTCCAGACACGACGAAGTTTTAAAATATTTTGACCTTTTTTGAGCCATTTAAATCGTTTGTAATTTTTAGTTTTAAATGTTTTTATTTGATTTATAAAGGATAAAATTATTGTTTGCAAGTAACAAAAGCTCAAACAATACAAAATTGTCACAGCAGTTTAAAAGTACAGTGACAGTTTTCGTTTATAAGCGTTTGCGAATATTTTTGTAGACATTACCTATTATACAATAGTTGTCAGACGGCAGTCTGGCGCCGCTCAAAATTAATTTTCATCAAATTTAATAAAATATAACCATGGACCATGGACATTAAAATATTCTAATATTTCTATTGTTCACGATTTTACGAGCGTACCTAATACATATCGACGAATTCAAACTCGACACGTCCATTATTCATTTTTCAGTGTGAAGCGTACGACGTTTACCAGTTTTAAACACGCCTACGCGTAACATTAACAATCCCAATAATAAACTTTGTGCCCGATCAACAAGTACCGGGACGTTGCACTATATAATACGAATGCATAATAGTTGGACTAATGTTATCTCCGTCTTACACACGTACGACATGGTAAATTTTTGTTCATCAGTTTCAATAATGTGTTTTTAATTTTGATATAACAGTGAATTAAGATATTATCAAACTTTTAGGTAAGAAAATTATCTTTGTTGTCTCGTTGGTTTTTTACAATATTTTAATTTTTAAGTGAATTATGAGCATTTTAAAATATTTATATTTTTCATATTCATAACTGAAAGTGCTGTCCATCAGTCAACATTGGGTACCCAATCTACTTTTTTTAATTAATATAGTATCATAATTGTAATAATGTAATACCACTCATAAATCTTACCACTACTGGTCTATAGGTTAACTATACATATATTGAACTATTATATCGATGGTATTGTTAGTAAAATGCAATTCGTGCAGTAATTTCCGATAGAAACTGAACATAATGCATGATTAAACATTTATACTATTTATAGGAATGTAACAATAATACTTGTTTTCTTTCTTTATAATAATTCCAAACTTTGGTAGGTAATAATATTGTGTATTGACATAGTACGTAGTGTGTTGTGTGTAGTATCTACGTAATAAAATTATATATAGATAAATAAAAACCTATTTATAAACAAATTATAATGCCTATTATAATCTATTGATACTTATCTAGTCCAATGTCCAAGTTCATTAGTTGTAATACAATTCGATGGGTTATTACTTATTAGCAAATCAGTGTAATACTGTAATATACTATACAGGTGTATCTGTACGGTTTTATAGGTAGTGTTTTTTTTTCATTAATATTTTATGATAAATTAACTAGTTATGGACATAATTGAGTAAAAATAATAATAGATTATGTAATCAAGTGATTTTTGCATTATAGTAACTCGAGTACTCATTACTCAACTAACGAGGTAGTTTATTTGAAACATTTTTAAAATCCAAGTCCAAAACTCCGAATAACGTAAACAATTGAATGAACGCTATTAATTATTATTTTTTTATTTATAATATTTTAATTTTTAATCATGGTACTTTATATTATTATTATTATTATCATTATGTACGTTATTGCTTAATTATGCTTAAATAAAGCTTTCTTAAACAAAACAAAATTCCCCAACACAGCCTTAACTCGTAATATGAAAATATGTTAGCATAATAATATCTATTGTAGGTATAATAAATTGTTCATAATAATTTCAATATTTATTATTTTTTATAATAATTTTCCAGGTTAAAATTGTTAGAATAAAAAATGAGTTTATGATTGGACAGTTGATTATTTCGACTATTTTGAGTAACGACTTAAAAGTAATAAGTAATAACTAATAACTATTGTCTATTAATATTCCAAGTCATTTATTAATTGAAATTTTATCGATTACTATTCAAGTAACGCATAATAATTAATATTATATCAATTAAAAATTTCAAGTGATTATTAGGAATGATATTATCTTTACTTTAAAAATATATTGATTACTAATAACTCAATTATGCCCATTACTAGAATTAACACGTATTTCTCCTTATAATAAACAGAATGATAAGTATTTAATTTATAAGTTTTTTTTATTTATTCAAAAAGACAATTTATAACCTATACTCAATAATTACAATAAGCAAAATTGATATTTACATAGAATTAAGTAACACGAATATTGTGTTGAGGAAGAAACCCAATGGTGACACATCCTTTAATTTATTAGTTAAAAAAATTATCTCGAAAGTCGATAAGTATATTGACATTTAATGGATATATTTTTAAGAATAGGTACTGAAATACATGTTGAATTCTCGGAGTAAAATATATCACATTACTATATTTCTGAAAACTTCAACAAGTCCACCGACTTTCAAAGTACCAAACACGGCAAACAAAGTAATTTCCATCTTAATGAAATCTCAATGATATTAATTAACAATATATAAAAATTAAAATCCGCTTATTAAAAATATTACTATTATTTGAATATCAGGACACAGTAATAATCAATGACATGAAGAAGTAAACCGACAAACAAAAGGCGCAGCACTGTACCACTAGAAAATTCCTAATCCCAATAAAACTAAAATCTTAGACATAACAAAAGAAACAATATGAACATTTACACTAGCTTAATACTTTGTCAAATCAAAAAACACAACTAAAAAAAAATTGTACTTTCATACCCTACTGGAACATCTAAAAAAAGTAGAAGCAACTATCAATAGATTAATAATCGACCATACAAGATTAACACGAAGTTACTAATTGGGAAATAACAGCCAATAACTTGTACTCATGCAAATTGACTGACTGCCTATCGACTATCATCTATATGTGGTATGTACCTATCTCTCAAACGACCTCATTCCCTTCCTCAAAGATACTGGATTGGATCAACAAATTTAATAATTACAATTAATCAATTTACTTTTTTGTACATGACATTATTTATATAAAATAAAGTGTAAGTTAATTTGTTTTAACATTTAAAAAAATATAAATTTAAACTAAAATTGTATATTTCAATAAAAAAATAATAAAGCATATCTTACCCAGCTAATTATGAGTTCAAATAACTATGGCCTTGCAAGCAGTAGGCACTAAATAAGTAGGTTCAGAATATTTTTTGAATGAGCCACTGAAGTAGGTTCAGAATAGTAATTACCTCTTCTCCCCATAATCTGTTATTTGAATAGTTTAATATATATTATGTAATATGAAATAAAAATTGTGATACAATATATTTATTAATAAGCATGATAGGCACTTATTGGCTATTACAGTATTTTAATCATAAGTATAAATATTTAAACACCGTAGAATAAATGAAATGTTATTAGTGTTTCATTTAATCTATGATAAATAGTTTTGGGCATAGATAACTAAAAATGTATTAATAACCTATAGACACGTAGATAAAAAAAAAATGTTAGGGTTTGATGGTTATAATTATCTGAAGTAAACAAAGTTAATATTTTAATATTATATGCATAAATTTTAAATCAGAATTTACTTCAAACTTACTTGTGATGTAAAAAAGATTGTATTGTTTTCATTCAATTAGTTAATGGTTATTTAATAATTATTATATAGATAAAATTAAAATTATAACAGAATCATCTTATCTAGATAAGTTACACAACTATTTAATGTGAGATAATGCATAAAATAACAATATTTAAAACAAATTAATTATATGCAATTCTTGTCAAAAACGCTTTATTGTAAAAAAATGCTTATTTTCAGTTAATGAATTATCAACTTAAAAATATATATTCATCTCTATATACACAACTAATTACATATTTAAAAATAATCATATAGTCATACAATTAATCTTCTTTCATGGTTTCATCCATTTCTAAAACATTAATAGTTTTATTAATTTCTGGTGATACTTTATTATCATCAACGTCCATTTTTTGTCCTTCATCCATTTCTAAGGGTCCAATCTTTTCTTTTTTCTCTCTTATAGTATTGTCATTTTCACTATCATCGTCAGTATCTTCAGAATCAGAATCTGCACCAGGATGATCAGACTTAATAATTTTTTTTTCAACACATGTTACTGATTCTCCAGGCTTAATCCAATTATCCACAGGTTTAATTTCCTATAATACAAAGTAACAATAAATTATAAATGACTACACATGGATGAACTGAAACAGTAATATAATGTGAACATACCTGATGAACTTGTTTTAATTCCTGAACTCGTTGTAAATAATAATCAAATACATATTTAGCTATTTCAGGCATATCTTGTACTATAAAAACTTGACTTTGAGTGTCTATAGGACTATCAAGTATTCTATTAGTAGGGTAATAATCAGCTGGTAGAAGATGCAATTTTAATGGCCGTTTTGTTAACTAAAAGACAAAATGAAAAGTTATGATTGATACTTGTGGTGTTGGTTAATTTATAAGCTTACAAGTTTGAATGATGGTGATAATTCAAAGCAATTGCTAAATAGTGATACATTAGCAAAAATATATAGACCAAGTCTTGCTCTAGACATAGCAACAACAAGACGCCTGACATCTCTTAAATGACCAACAGTTTTTGTCCTTACCAATGACAATAGTACATAATCATTTTGTTGACCTTGATACTTATCTACTGTAGTTACCTGAAAATTAAATGAAAAATTTAGTAAAAATATACTTTGCTTAACAAGAGTAGTATTTTAATTATTACCTTATGAGGCCAACCAATCAGTGGATTAGAACCACAGCGCATATTTATGATTTCTCTGATTAAATGTTTTTGACCATTATATGTACTCAAAATAGTAATTTTACTAGCAGGATAACCAATTAGTCTCATATACATGTAAACTGACACACAATATTCCGCTTCGGCTAAATTCTAAAAAATTGTATACATTAATGATTAATGAAATATTTATACATTATAAATAATAGAATATTTAACCTGGATGAAATGAGGGTTTGGTTCAGTTTCTCCAACACCATTAAACAACCCGACATCAATTAACTGATATTCATAAGAAAAACCAGCATTTGCTTTATGGTATTCTGGAGCAGTTAACACGTGGTTTAAATTTCCTAAGTTATTATAGCGCCAATTGTATAATTGACTTAAACTATAAGTAAAACGATTTATGAATTATTATTATTTAATTAATAATCATTTTAAAATATAAAGTATTGTTTAACTTAAATTACCTAGGTCGTGAACGTCCTTGAGCATCTAAATCAATAGTAGGAACCCCTAAATTTACCATGCGAGTAAATAATGATTGCTCCATATTTGAATATTTTTGAAAAGCCATATTTTTAATAACTGGTGGTAATTGATGGTGATCACCAATCATTATCCATCGTTTTAAGCGACTAAATCCATCATCAGAGTTTTGAAGTAATAAAGGAATGAATGTTTCTATCTCAAGAATTTGAGCTGATTCTTCCATCAGTATGTTATCATATTTAAAGCCAAGCTCTATAAGTTCTTTACGCTTTAATGCTGCATGAGTACATGTCATTGCTATTATTTTAACTTCTTTTACCAATAAATATCGTGAACGATCTAAACCAGTTCTAAGTAATTCAAAAGCTCGAAATTCGTCCAATTGCTTGAATATTTTTTTGATATGTCTATTGAAGAAAATATAATATGTTAATATAATAAATAATCATCTATTGACAAATGCTTAACTGAGTTCTTTAAATTTAAATATCATAGTTGTATATAACTATAATGCATATTCATAAAAATTAAAATATCTACATACCTAAAACAACCTCTAGCGATTTCCTTATCTTCTTCTAAGTTTTGACATTTGAATAATGGTTGAGGAGCATCACTGAAGAAAAGTCCAAATGGAAAGTTGTCTTTGACAATGTTAACTGTGATCGCCTATAAAATTAAATATTAATTTTTAATACATTGAATTTAAATTAATTTATTTAACTTACGCCATCTGAATTTTCTTCTATATTTTTTAATGTCATTAAATATTGATTCCACCGGGGAAGTACATGAGACCAAAAAAAGTGCATAGCCGTTTCACAAGTATATGACATATCTCCTTTTACATCCATTAAGTCTTGTAAACGTTGTACTTCATTTAATAACTGGAGTCTTTTAGCTAGAACATAATTTACTCTTCCATACCTAAATAAAAGTTTATTTGAATTAAATATTGTATTGATGTTATTAATTAATAATTTATTATTAAAAATTATTTTTCAGTCGTTAGTGAAAAAAACTTACCGACTAAAATCTTTATCTGTTTCCAAAGCTTCTTCTCCATGTCCCAGACGTAATAAATGCCGTTCATCAATGTCTAATGCCATAATTTTTTCAAATAATTGATTCAATGCTTGATTAGAATGTGTCACAATCAATGTACGTTCATTCCTCCAGTTATGGTATAAATTTGAAATTATTTGTACAGCCACATCAGTTTTACCAGTTCCTGGAGGACCAACCACTACAGTAAGACCAGGTTGCATACCAGAATATATTGCTTCAATTTGAGTAGGTGTAAAATAAATCATATTTCTAATAAAAATAAGATATTTTAGTAAATTTATTTTATAATATTTAATTTTAAATATTGTAATATTACTTTTTAGGTTGATTAAACTTGTAAGGTCCTCTATTAACAGTTTTCTCAGATTGAACAATAGCCTTTTTTAAGATCTTACCATCTGAATCAGTAGTTTCATGAAAATGAATACTAACAAATAAAACAATTATTATTATTTTTTTTTTACAATATATACTTAGAACAATAAATTTAATATACAAAAACACTAATTGGAGTTCTTACTAACCGATATGGTGGTAGCATTTTATCGGGATTGTTCTCATGTAGAACTATTTGATGATTAGGAAAACTTGATAACAAGTGGTCCATATTCAAAAATGTATCATTAAAGTTCATTACTTTTATTCTATTTGGCATTCTAATAAAAAAAATTTAATTAGTTTTTAATCAATTTGAAACATCATATAAAAAAAACCCCAACAAAAATAATTGTATTAACTTACTTATCATAACGAGCTGCTGATGGATCACCGTATCCTAAAATAATATCATGGATCCATTCAGGTACGACACATTCAGTGTTCATTAAATGACGAATAGTTTCCAATACAGCTTTAAAATTATTTTCTTTAGGTTTTCGTCTCATTATTATGTTGAAAGTTTCATAAACATCCTAAATAAAAAAATTTAATTCATGAGCATTTATTGATTGGAAAATAATTGAACGAAAATAAAGAAATAAACATACAATTTTTCCAGCAGCAACATTATCAAGATCTGCACGATATTGATTACAATCTAACCAAACACGATATGTTCGTTTTTGGCCAGGTAAGACTGGTCTTGGATCAGGTCCTTCTTCAATTACACGACCCATGTTGTCTAACATACCCTCTACTTCACAGCCTCTAACACAGACTATTGCAGTTTGTTGAAGAAATGGTTTATGATAATCAATTCTAGATCCTAAAATAAATATCAATAAATAAAATGTATATAACATTTAAAAACTAATATCTATCTTACCTATAGGTAAAATTGGTTTTACAGTTAATAAGAAACAAACATCATGTTTACGAAGATTTTCCCATTCTTCTTGAACATCTTTTTTTACATTTAATGTAACTATAACATCAGCACGAACTCTGGAAGGTTGTAAATCACCTAAAATTTTTTTATTTAAATATAAAACAAAAAAAGAAATTATAACATTTCAATATTGTAAGAAATTAATTTTATTTACCAAGATTAGGTTTTGCAACTTCTACAACCAGAAAATTATCAATAGGTAATGCCATTTTGGAATAACCACTAAAGTAAATGCTTCCATCTTCAGATTTACTAAAATTAATTAAGAATATTAATTACCATTAATAAGATTATTTTAAAGTTTTTATAATTTGCCTTTTAGTTGGTTTAAGTAATTAAAACTACTCAACCAGATAATAACAAGTTATATAAATGTTCCCATTATATATAACGTACATTCAAAAGTCATTACTTACCACGGGTTCATCCGTGTAATAGAATCTTCTATATCTTGTCTGATTTCATCTACAAAAGATATGGGAAAAACATGAAATGCATTTGTTATTAGTTTTTTTTTTTTTTTTTGAAGGGGGGACCATTATTTTGATTTTAATCAACAGTTTTTAATATTTCTGAAATTTAATATACTTTTACAACAGAAAAGGATTTTACATCAATAAAATATTATCCATGTGAATTGCTTATCATCAAATATAAAGGTATTAACATAGTCAGTATTTTATAGATATTTTAGTATTGAAGCAAGTTGTGACCATTTCTAAATTGCAATAATTTTACAATGATAATAAAGGCCTTGAAGCTTGCGCCCAAATTCACCAGAACTTTTAATACAAATTAAATTTATCATGTTATATAGAATGTATTTTTTGTAATTAATTCAGAATACAGATAGTACCTAAAGTTAATATCAAAAGAATCTAGTTGTTAAGTACCACTTGTCTGCAAGCAATATATCACCTAGACAGACACACAACAAACAAGAAAAACCTAAAATACACGCTTGAATATGTATTTTGACTGCATTTTATAAATTCGTAGGTTGACATTGAGAAATATCAATATCTTAATGCGAGAAAAAAATTAAAATTTTATTATATTCAAACTTATAAAAGAAAAAAGATGAAAACTTTAATTCAAAAAGCAATGGGCCATGACAAACTTAGTTAAAACTTCATTAAAAAGTTTCCAAATGCCGTATTACATTTTACGCACACATACAATGCTATTAAATGCATAGAATATAATCCAGAATAATATAAATGGATACATAATAATGATCATATTATTGTAGTATTAAAAAACCGATATAATTTCTTAGAAGAATGTCTTAACTCTTACAAAAACTTATATTTAAATATATTTACAAAAAAAAACATGCTAAACTAGAACATCACATTGAATTTCTCACAATCAAAATCATCAAAACATTCAATTTAATAAAGTCACTTATAAATAATAATAATTATTAAATTTGAGATTTTGATACATTAGTCAATTAACTTCCAAAGATTAAATTGAATTTTTAATATAATTATAACTATAGTTTTAATTTTAAAAGCACAGTTATATTATCTTAAATGGCATATGAATATTTATTTTAAATAGATATTCTGATATTTTAGATTTTTCCTCATTAAAATTATCAGTTGATAGGAATTAGTAATAGGTAAAAGTACTTATTAATTAATTATAGAAAACAAAAAATAAAAACTTACATGTAGATTCTAATCTGAATAATTGAAAATTACGCAACAAGTAATCATGAAGAGTTAAAAATTGTAAGTTCAATTTTGGTAATGCCAAACATTTATTGCCATTATAATATTCAGTAGGAACTACAGCTTCATTCCATATAATATCTTCTGTTGGATAAAGTGGCATTCCATTCAAAATTTGTAATTGTGATTCTCTAGCTTCGTGGTGAGATACCTTAAATAAAATTTAATAATATTAGTAAAAATAAATTCTATGAAATAATATTTTTGTTATGACAAAAATTATTTCTGAACAAGTAAAAATCAATATAGAATATACAATTTATATGAATATAAAAAAAATTAACTTAAATTAAAAATATAATTGTATACACTTGGAAACTTTAAATATAACAACTATAATTTAAAATAAGTTGTTAGTAACTAAGAATAATCTATAAATTCAGATGTAAGTATCCACATTTGAATCGATTATTAAAAAAATCCTTATAGTGTTTATAGTATTACTTACAAATAAAACTTAAAAATTGATGGAGTCAATCATTACAATCAATATTTTAATAATGATAAACTACTATCTCACACCAAAATGAATAAAGTAAGACAAATACCCAATACTGAGTTTTTATCTTTTAGGTTTATTTATAAAACACTTCTTTTTATCTCTTTACTCTTTGCTTTTAATTAAATTGGGTTGGTAATTGTTGTTCTACATTTCCAAAGATTCTTCACTTCTTTGCTAACACAAACTTTTTTCGTGTAATTTTCTATTCTATCTATTCATCTCTTCTTTAGATGTTTACTCTTTATTTTCCTTTCAACATTAATTTCAATAACCATTCATATGACTTCCGAATCATCTTTTCTCATGACATAATAAAACTATTTCAACTAATTCTCTTTTATTTTGATATATTTATAAATTAATAAAATACAATATAATTAAATTCTAACTTATAGTAATATCATATAATGACTGGATCATTTATAGTCCAAGTATATGTCTATCCAGCCACAGCTACAAGATTTTTAAATTAATAGCTCTTTAGTTTATTACATAATTTAAAATTTTTTATGAAATATACATACCAATAAAGAAAGTAAAAACTCAGAATCGTAACGATACCAATTTTCAGTCAAACGTTTTTCTTGGTCAGGAATTAAATTTAGTTCCATAGCAATATTTTGAAGCTCTTGATTACTGAAATTAAGAATATACATCAACGTGATTATTGATATCAGTAAAATAATGTCCGTTTTTATAAAATTCTAATTCTAGCCTCCTTTCTTGCTGATGAGCAAATGTCTTCCTTTTCATGTTACAAATATAAAAATAAAACTAGGTTAAATTATTCTTCTCAATGCTAAGTCTAACATTATTTTTTAAGATCAAAATATGAAGTTTTGCTGACCCTTACTTTTCATTCAAAGATTATTTTTCCCTGTACTTTATAACTAAATTCAACTTATCTATTTTACCATATCAGGGATTTGCTTTTATTAGATTTTTGATTATTATTTTATTTTATAGTTTGATGTTGAATTCATTCAATGTGTTATATAAAATATATATCAAATAGAAATTTACTAATTTTAATGAAAACTATTTAAGTTATAAATTACCTAACTCTCCACAAGACCTAGGTATAAAAACAATAGAAGAAAAAGCTGCTGTTTTCTATAAACATTTTTACATTAGATTAGAAAACCACATAAATTTCCTGATAAAAGGCTTACATGTACCATAACTTCTTGGAAATCCCCATCAAAGACTTAAAAGAAAATGGTGCAGAGATCATCTAACTCAGGGGTCGGCAACCTTTTTGGTACCGAAGGCCAAAAAATAGTAAAAATAATTTTCACAGGCTATACACCTTATTTTATTTACATTTTAAACCAAATTTAACTTAATTAATTTAAGTTTCATCACTATTTGGTACCTATATTAATTTAACACAGTATAAATTAACAAAGTTAGATTATCAACTAACATAATATGATATTTCATATTTTTATACCAATTATAAATTATAATTGCAGGCCACAAGTAGCCCGTGAGCTGCAGGTTGCCAACCCCTGATCTAACCTTATCATATAATAACACAACATCCAAGTTAAGTGCTACTAATGGGTGGTTTCTTATTCAGGTAACCCCATAAATGTTTTGTTATCTCGATTTCACATACACTTATTGTGCTTAAATGTATAAATTGTATATTTCTTGTAAAAGTAAAAAAAAAAGTTATAAATTAGAATCATTCATTTTTTAATTTTACAAATCTAAGAATATATTTGAATTAGGTAAGTCAAACTTTCTTTGTTTTACACATTAAAAATAAATCAAAAATTCAAGTTTGATATCAATCTTAGATTCAAATTAAGGTTAAAATTAAATTTTTATCATTTTTTAACATACTAAATTTTGATTTTAATTATATTAGTTTGATTTTTTTCCAGCTTTACGATCCATTGAGGATCTTTACCGCCAAAACTACCTCCTCTCATTTCTCTCTTTATTACTTTGATTATTAAACTAAATGTTGAGAATTCGGTTTATTTAAAATAGTGTAAAATTTGTATTATTACTATAGAAACATACTATTCAACTAAAATACTTAAATAAAAAAAATATAACTTAATTTATTGAACAATTAATGTTATAATTTAAAATTTACCTCAGATTTTTGAAATGTTTAATGAGAGAATCATATTTATCAATAGCATTAATATTAGATAAAGAAAAATCTTTTAATTTAGTAAATTTTCCAAATAATGTTGCCTGAAAAATAAAAATAAAACAATTGTATTAGTATTAATGTTATTGTATACAATAAAATTTAAAATCAATTTTTGAATAAACAAAAATAAAGTTGTAAAATTTATACTTCTATTAACTTAAAAAATATTTTGTAGTTTTTATAAACATTGTTTAAAAGTTTCATCAAACTTTTAAATATCAAATAATCAAATACTGTTAAGGTTAATTAAAAAATCAATAAATTTTTATTTTTAAAATGATATTTTGGTTTAATTTTTCTTTAATCTTATAATACCAAGCTAAGCAACACTAATGGGTATCTATCATATATATTTTCTTCCCGTTATCAAATATATTTATTATGATTAAATCTTACTTGTAATGATATAATTTTATCATAATGTGCTTGCATCACTTCATTTTCTTTTAATGGATCACCAGTTGCTTGACAAATTTCAAAATGAAAATAAAATTTTAATATATCTAAAAGCTGTTTAAAAATATGTTCAATTAATCCGTTTTGTGTATGATATAACTTAAATGAACAAACCTGTTTGAAAAGGTGTCCTTCATCACGTTTGCTTAAAAAAGCTAAATAACAGCGGTTAATTAAATGAACATCATCTAAAACTGCATGGAAAAATCTTCTTGTAGGTAATGATGTTTCTAAGTCAATAAGCATTTCTAAAAACCTTTCACAGTAGTTTAAATGGTCCATAGACAAATCACCTAAACATAATATTTAATACATTAACTAATTTAAATAGAATGAATCAAAATATCTAATTATGTTGATAAAAAAATATTTAATTTTAGAAATTAACTATTAAGCGTTTACTATTAACTAGTTATAGCAATTAGCATTTATAATATTACCTTCTAATGGTATATTTTCTAAAACATTGATAAATTTAATGCATAATTTATGTAAAAAAGTTCTTTCAAGATCTGCTTTTAGTTTATTTTCTAATGACAACTCTTTATCTTTTTTTTGTAATCGGTTCCATAATTTTTGCCATTTAGGTACTTGACGCAATTCCAATATTCTTCGTCTCTGAAAAATAAAAAAAATATTAAAGATTAATGAATGTTAAAAATAAACAGCATGATTTATTAGTAATTAATTATGTTTAAAATATTTTTGATAACTATTCAACAAATTGAATTACAGAATTATAATATTAAGCAGGTACTTGTTTTGATTTATTAACACCAACACGATAAAATGTATTGTTATTATTTATCTACAAATAAGAATAATAGTATATGATAAAAAAGTTTAAGTTAAAATATGATGTGTAATACAAAGATGGACAGATTACTTGTAACTATTTTTTCAAACACATTTATAACTATAATATTAATAAAATACATACTTCTTGTAAACTACACCAAATTGATATTGACACTAGTTTTTTCATTTTATTTCTAACCAAATCAGTTTCCATACATTGAAAACAATGATTTAAAAAAACTACTAAAGCTATTTGTTCTTTTATACTGTGATCATCGGAAAGACTGGCATGTAAAACTTGATCAATAAAACCATCAAATTCAGCTGGTTGCTTTTTTAAGGCCTAAAAAAAAAATGGTAATATATTTGTCGAATACACTGAATATTTAAATAAATATAAATAATTATTTACCTGCCAAGGTGCTACTCGTTCACGAAATTTTTCATTTAACATTATAACAATAGACATCATATGTGCAAACGTAGCATTTGCGGAGACATAATTAGGCCACAAATAATTTTCCAAAAATTGACTAAATTCTAGGATCATAATTCGTCTAACTGAAAAACTAAAATTTCAAAATTATTTTAGTATATTTTATAAGATATCTCTTACTATAAACTTAGTCAAAATAATAATCAAAATTAATAATCTTAAATAACTTCTAAAAATTAGCTATTTATAACTACACATATTTATAGATAACTATTAACTATATGTACCTTAATATTAATTTAGGCAAAAATAAAATATTAAAATTAGGAGTGTACTTTAAAACAGGATACTTATTTAAATTTTTGTCAAGCACACACATAACAAGGGATGGTACATTGAGATATTTTATTTTAAATTTAAATTTTATTATTGATAATCATTAGTTAGTATTCTTTTTCTCAAGACTTTCTTTCAAGAGTACTTTTGTTATTTTCTCGTTTACTAATATATCTTAAGAGGACATAATATAGCATGTAATGGCTTTATTTTACATGTATACAGCAGAGAAAATTTTCAAAACTTTTTATGGAGTTTCAGCAAACAAATAAAGACAATAAGCTGATGGGTAAGATTACTATAAACTATAATAAATTTATTTATTATAATTTATAATATTAAGATTAACACAAAATGGATTCTAATAAACACAAATTTACTATGCTGTAAGTTTGTAAGATAGATTCAACACATGAGAAATGGATATAAGGCTTATCAAATTATCTGAGGAAAATTGTAATTGAACTACTGCTCTAACCAACAATTCTTTTAATATCTATACTTTTATAAAAATTTAAACACAGCAACTTACTTAGACTTATAGATTTCTTCATTGTAAATATCTTCAACAACCTTGGCATCATAAGGTAAGTATTGATTGGACTGTAAATTTGGTGCCCAATACTTTGAAGCTAGCTACAAAAGAAGATGCAAAATTCAATTATAATTTTAATAAATTAAATTAAGTTTTCAAAATTTGTCAAATGGCAAAATTAATTTTAAAAATATTCTAGTTCAAGTTCAAATTGAAATAAGAATAAATTATATTGTTAAGAATAGAAATGATATACAGTCAAAATACAATTCATAAAACTATGAACATTTAATATTAATATGTATATATATATAAATGTATGTATTTTTTTTTAATAAAGATAAATTAACTTCAGAAAACTTTAAAACTAACTCTGTAAGAGTTACACATTACATTACATATCTTATACATATTTGTAAATACTAGTGTATTACAAATTAATGAAAGTATGCAAATCTATATGAAAAACCATTTAACTGCAATTAAAATATTATGAACTTTGGAATATTTTCTACTCCAGTGTTTAATATTAAACATTGGTTATATATGTTATAGCTCATGAAAGTTTATTTGTTAATTAATGAATCAAAATCATTCACATTTATGAAATGTAAGAATTTAATTAAAATTGTATCACTGAAAATCATTATATATACCTGTGTAATACGATCAGCATTGATCTGATCTATGGTTGGAGCAAGATTTAAGACTACTGCTTGCTTGGAATCAGTCATTATTATTGTTTTTGTCCAATAATATTAATTGAAAAAAAATATATTTAAACACAAATAAAAACTATGCAGTTGTTATTTTAAAGTAACAACACATCAAGTATAAATTATAAAATGCATACACTTTTGAATGTATCTACACAAAATATTTACTAATAAAATTATGTAATATAACTAGTTGAATCGTTGATTTTCAAACGCACAAAAACGTTGAATAGTACCTACTATTTACTACTAAGTAGACGATATATTAAAAAAAGTATACATTATACCACATTATACAGTTTGGTGCCGGCAGGGTGTATAGCAGTTTGCAAACATAAACAAATTAAAACACACATCACTGTTATCAGTTATCACAGATAAATGTCGGGACAATATCTGTAGTTCCATAAAACATTTGTTCCAATATTCCTTTGTTCTAAAAATATAGAAATTCATAAAATATTTATTGGTCTTGAAATCCCCAATCGGGAATATCATTATTAATGAATAATGGCCTTTTATTTATATATATGTAAAATTTAAATGGAAATAAGGGCATTATCATTTTTTAATTTAAATATTTATTAACTAATACAAAGATATATTAAAATATTATTCTTTATTTATTAAAGTATTTTATAAACATATTAGCTATTCAATATTTTAATAGGTAATTTCGAATAATATAATTTTTATATTTGTTTATATTAGATATTTTTCACTTGTATGAATTTTTGTCTATAGAGTTGTATTATTCTTAATTATTTTTAAAATGTAATACAAGTTAAACCAAAATCTTAATTTCTATTAATCAGTTATCAGGACAAGCTGAATACCCGACCGGGACACCGGAATACGCCGTTAAAACCACAGGACAAATAACAAACCTACTTAATTATTGGTTATCATGAAATCTGTATTCTGAAAAATCATAGACATAATTAGTGTTAAAAGTATAACTATAATTTGCAGTACACATTTATTAAGTACATAGTACATGGTTTATCAATTAGAAGTTAAAATTATTTTTTATTTTTATTTAAATATAAAATAAATGTAACATAGTAAAATATAGATAATAAAGAATAAGTAATAAATTACTAATAATATAGATTAAACATTGAACAATGGATACAAACAATAGATAACCCAAAGACTTTTAATAGCTACGAGTCTATAAATTAGATTTAAGTACTAACATAGACTATAAATATGAAAATAGTAAAAAATGTGTCCAATATGGGCAGAGCCTCTTCAACTATAATTAACAAAAGCCTAAAAAGTTAAAAGCCTTGAATACAAAATTTAGAAAATATGCCTCAAGCTCATAAGGAATTGGTAAATTCATTAGGATTTTTAAAGTATTTAATATCTTGACACATTTTAAATTTAATAAATAAAAAAATTAAACAAAATAGTCTATGTTACTAATAGTATTGGTTAGGTACCATAGATTGTGTTCGTTAAATTTATATTTACGTATTATTCTTCTGTTAGTAATTATTACTAATTATTAATAAGTTTAATTTATTTCAAATGAATTCTCTACATAATTCACAATTTCACAAAAAAAATATTACCCTTAAACCGGGATATAGGATATTAATTGAACTTGGATTTAAATTGATTAAAAATTTAAAATCTATAAAAAAATAGCCATAATTTCATGCGATACCGAAAAGTGGTTATTCACAAGACATCATTATCAAAACCGACATAAAAAAAAAACAATGGTTTGCATCCTCAAAACGTGATTTAAAGTTCGAGTAAAGTCTAGAAAAACCAACCTCCAAAATTTAATCCTCCAGCACGGACTTAATTGCGTGCATTACATCAAATGTTCCGTTTAATATTATGATATATTAATATAATGAAACTTATAAATATTTATAATGGGTATGTTTTGATGTAACAATTCAGTGTTCAGTAATGTTGACAATGTTATTATTATTGTATATTATTTATATTATTTATAATAAGGTCATGTATCCACTAAATTATCATTTACGGCTTTAGATGACTTTACAGTTTACATGGCTAAATATTTAGTTTTGCCATTTTAGGTTAAATGTAATGCCGACAGTCATACTTTCAACTTAATATATTATAATTAATAATTATTAACATAATGATGTACGTCGCACGATGCAATTATTGCAAATCTTTGATGTTCAATCCTTGGTAAAGAGTAATTCTCCGGCACCATGGTCCACGGTAGTGGTGTAGTACATACTTCGTAGTATTGTTCTATGGTGGTACTGCGGTTATCAGTTATAGGTTATGTCAAATTAGTTTGAAAAATTGAAAATAATGTAATGTGATTTGTATTTGTAAAACATTCAGAATATTCAGATTTCAATGTTTAGTAAATTGTAGTAACCATTCTTTCGTTTTTTTATATATTTTTTAGAATTTTGAATTTAAAGTAATTTTTACTATTACAAAATAGCCAATTAGTTATTGAATTTGTTGGACTACTTTTTTAGGAATGTCACGTTCAATTGTATTTGGGATACATGTTGGAAACTCAACCGCATCAATAGCCATATCCAAAGTAAATATGATTTAATTGCTATTTTTAAATTTACACTCACTGTAGTATTTTCATTGTTTAAATTAAGCTATTAATATAAAGCAGAGTTCATTTATGACATTATAGAAATTGTAATTTACTTGATAAAATAATATAAAAATTTTCAAACTTTGTATTCAAGCTATGTATACTTGATTAAAATTATGTAGGTAAATATTGTTACATTATATTGAATTGATTAAGTAATGATATTCTGTATAAAACTGAAAATAATCCCTTGTACTATAAGGGTAAAGAACACTCAACACTAAATTTTAGATATAAATTTTATTTTTTACTAAATATTTTTTTTAGATTTTAACTGTTTATATACTTTATTTTATTTTTGTCTATTTTTAAATATCAAAATTTAAATTTTGGATGAGTGTAGTAGTGAACAAATATTTTGCGGAGTATTGAATTCCCAAAAAACTTATATAGTATATGGGATTAAAATTATATTAACATTAAAGAAAATATAAAGTTTAATTTTCATAAAAGTTGTATTTATTTTTTTTTTTATATAATGGGTGTTTTTCAATAAATAAATCATACATCATTACTTGTACTTGGTACTCAAAAAATTGTGTAATTATTTCATAGGAAGAAGGTAAGGTGGACGTTCTTGCAAATGAAGCTGGAGACAGAATAACACCTGCAATTGTATCTATAACCGATGAAGAAACTGTAAGTCTAATTTATTAAATATAAATTATTTTATAATTTGTTACAAATTATTTATAGGTTGTTGGAAATGCTGCAAAAACTGGTTTTATATCAAAACAAGCAAATACAATAACTTTTAATAATCGTTTAATGAACCTTTCATTAGACGAAAATGATAAACGTTCATTTATAGAAAATAATAAAGTTAAAACTATTGAGGATGGAGGTCATCTTGCATATGATCTACCTTTGGAAACTAAGAAAAAAATTTATTCTCCGCAGTTCATTGAATCAAATATATATAAAACATTATATGGTATGTAGATTTAAAATTTGTTTTTTATGTTAATTTAATAAATTATTTTATTTTTTTATTGTTATTATTGCAATTTTTGCCTTTATTTTATAATCTATTATTTTAATTAGGTATTGCTAAAAGAGCCACTCACAGTGAAGATACAAAATGTTCTTGTGTTTTAACTGTCCCTGAATTTTTTGATGATCCCAGCAGAGAATCAGTTCGAAATGCAGCGATCCAAGCTGGATGGAATGTGCTTCAAGTTGTTAATGCCCCTAGTGTAACTCCTTTTACTTATGGAATTAATGTTACAGAACCTTTAAATGATACGTATGTAAAAATATATTAGTGTTGAATTTGTTTTTATATTGCTTTTTTGTTTTGTAATTACAGGTATATTTTAGTATATAGACTAGGAGGTATTAGTTGTGATGCAACAGTTTTATATGTGAATTCTGGTTTAGTGTCAATTGTAGCATCTGAACATACCAAAGCTATTGGAGGATATAAATTAATAGAGACACTGAAAGCTCACTTAATTGAAGAAGTAAAAAGGTATTTTTTGAAATTAACTAATTAGCTTGAGTATCTATATTTTTAATTGTTATAGAAAACATCGATCAAATCCTTCAGAAAATGCAAGAGCTTCTGCAAAATTACAAAGAGCTACTGAAGATGCAGTTCATTTATTGTCTACATTAAAAACAGCAAATATATTTATAGAATCATTGACTGATGGAGTTGATTTTGCTACCACGGTTTCACAAGCAAGATTTGAATCATTGATTGCTCATTTGTTGACTGATTTTGCTCTGCCTATTGAAGATGTTTTAAAGAAAGCTAAACTTAAGAGTTCAGATATTAAAAAAGTATTTATAAAATTTTTGATCACAATTAAGATTTTATGAATATTATGCTTTTATAATTTGATTAATTTAGGTTTTACTTTGTGGTGGTCCACTCAAAATACCAAAGTTGAAGCATTATATTGGGAACTTATTCCCACATGCAGATATACCAAATGGTATTAGTCCTGATGAAGTATTGGCTTATGGAGCAGCTGTACAAGCTAGTTTCTTAGCAAAATATTGGAATGCACATGATGATTTACCAGAACCTACAACAGAAGTTCACACATTAAATGAATTAATAGAAATTGATGTATTTTTTCTTTGTTTAATCTTCCTATAAAATCATAATAATCCTTTAATAATATTCATTGTTTTTTTAGTGTTGTGGGAAGACTTTAAGTTTTGATCAGAATGAAATTTTACCTTGTACAAAAAATATAACAACTAGTGCTAATGTTGATAATATCACTTTAGTAGCTACATCAGGAAATAACAAGAGTAATAAATCTGAAGTAAGTTTGTTTGAAATAGATTTAAATGTATCATATTATTTTATCAATGTTAATTTAGGCACATTTAAAACTGAAAACAGACGGAGAAATCACTTTCACATTAACTGCCAGTGTGTAAGTAATATATAAAAATGTTGTATAATGAATTGCATTATTTTTTTATTTTCTCTGTTATTTGTAGAGATCAATTATATGTTGAAGCAAAAAATGTGGACTCAGAACTAAAATCATCTGCTATATTTGTAGCTGTATAACTTGATTTACAATATAGAAAAATTCTGTTTTATTTATGTTTTTCTAATTTTAACCTATATTCTGACTTTTGAAATTATTTAAATTAGTTTATTGCCAATCTAAATCTCAAATTCCAAAAGTCTTGCTGTAAATTCTTATACTTAAAATTTCAATATTTAATTATTATTATTATTTTGAAATTTTTTAAGTTAACCCATTAATAAATTAATAATAATTTACTTTTAAATGTCTTTAAGTGGTTTCCTCCATTCTATATTTAACTAATAGTAATTAAATAATACATTGTAGAAGTATTTTTTAATATTGACTCCTAATTCATATGTTATAATTATTTAAGAACTTTACCATTTAGTATTATTTCTAATTGTTCCTACTCACATAACCTATGGATTTACTACTTTAATCTAGTGTAGTAGCATATTATAAAAAAACAAATCATAAGTTCTTTGTCGCCTAGGAAAAGGAGGACTATTAGGAGTTGCTAGATCATAAAAGACTAGTAGTAACCTTGTTAAATATTTAGAGATTAATGAACTTATAGAAAATAATACATATTCTTTTTGAAATTTTTTTTAATATATCTATTATTTAAAGGACATGAGTATTATTTTAATTATTTTTGATAAACTAATGATAATCACAGGTAAATAAAAATCTGAACTTTTTTAATTTTTATATGAACTAATAATCTTATGTTACTAAGACTTAACTATATGAAGATCATTATCAAAGAATACATTTTATTATTTATTTTGTGATGCTAAGCACTGCTACTTTAAATTTGTAATTATGAATTTAAATTATTTTCATCCACCCAGTGACACTTACCACTCTTAAAAAACTGAGAGGTGACCATCTCTCGATTACTCCCATCACCATGCTTAGATTGTACCTATAAATAAATTCAGTAACTTAATATTTACTCCTAATTTATAAATCCCTCTTTAAACCAATGTGGACTCATGGCCTTTAGCTTTGGGACAATGCTAAAAAAACCAACACCAATAAAATTCAAACTTTCTAAAATAATATCCTTCGAAAAATCACCAATTCTCCGCTTTATATCTCAAATCTAACTCTACACTCTGATCTAAAAATCTAAACAGTCCATGAAGAAGCAGTAACTTTTTACAAATGATTCCATTCCAAATTTTCTTCTCATGTTAAACCTTTCCACTCTCATAGTTCTTAAAAACCCCTCTAGAAGGATCAAAAGGAATTAGTGTTAAGATCTTAACTTATAAAGAAAAATATATATCAAAATAATTTATAAGATTAAAAAAACAAAAACAACAAGTGAAGGTAGTGTTACTACTGAGTGACTCTCTAATCAAATTATTCATGTAGATAATCTATTATCAGATTGTACAAACCGAATAAACAAAAAAATAAATAAAATAAAATCTTAAAATCCATTATATTATCTTTTATTGTCGAAATAGTAAATGATAAAAATTATTTAGCGTTATATTCCAAAAATAGCCTTAGGGACCCGTGACTAGAGGGATATAAAAATGATAAATGGTGATATAAATATTTTATATGCTAAAAATGCTTTAAGTTGGGTTAAGATAAATAATATTTTTCATATTATTTGTTTAAAAAAATATTTAAAAGTTAAATATATTCAAGCGTGTTTAATAATTTATTCATCATGTGATCGTATAATTCCGGGATAGTTGTGTGAACACCTACTTTATTATGTTGTATTCAAACATTAAATTTAATTAATTAAAACATCCCCCAATAAAAATTTTGGCTACCCACTTGGCAATAACAAATATCTAATTTGCCAAGCTACCTACTAGTTATGCTTTAAATGTAATAAGTATTTGCAAACATTAGATTACCATCGTATCGTTGATCATTTTGTAACACAAAAGCAAAAAAAAACAACAGTTTAACTAATTCTATTTTAGATTTTAATCGTTAAATATTAAATTCAAACATTAACATTTTTATTTATTCCGTTTCATTCAAAATTTTATATGTTTCGGTATCCTAAATTAAACTTCAGAGCTTTTCAGAAGTATAAATAATGTTGAACTCAAATTCAATAAAACCACTATGGGTCCTATCACTCCTATCTAAATGTATAGATATGTACACATTCAAAAAGTATACTAAGTACACTTTTGGAGCAAAAATATAGTTTAAATTTCATATATTGACTAAAAAAAATTTCTGAAAGAGCTGAACTTTCTATTAAGTAATAGGTACCTATGCTTGTTACCTATTGAAATAAAAATATTATGGCGTTAAAAATTTAGAGGAAATTTAAGAATTAAATAAAAGACCTTAAAAATTCCCCTTAGCGTGAAAAATAAGGATATAATTCGATATTGGGTATGTAAATTTAATTAAATAAAAATTATACGAAAATAAAAAATTAATAATGTATAATATTGATTATTAATATTATAAATTATAAACCTATAGGTACTTACTTACATCACCTAAATTGAATACGAAAATAATTATAAAGAAATTAAATTAATTGTATATAGGTACCTATTCTATTCTATAATCAATAGTAACTATACATTAATAAAATTAAATATTGTAAACCGAAGTTCGGTATTTATATCAAAATTCAAAATACATTGCATATTAAACTCGTCGTTTTTCTCTCGTTAACGTGCTTTTAAAGAAACGTGGGTAATTTTTCAAGAGCACCATTGAGCTGAAAAAGTATTTCAGATGGAATTTTATTTTAACAGAGCATTTTTAATAGTTTTTAAGACATTTAATTCCGGAGTTAAAACCAAAAGGCAATAAGTAAATACCTCCTTTGTAGTTGATAGCCCTATAAAATACAAATTGATAACATTTTATAAAGGGAATTCTCTTCTGCAATTAACAAATTACAATACTGTTAAGTAACTCAAATTGAGATATTTTACTTTTAACAATTTGAGCTTAGTTTTATTTTCATATTTAATTTCTTATTTCATAATTTCTCATTTGTAATCATAGAATTATAAAAGGTGGTTTATGGTTATTTTTGATATGGTTGCACTGTGTCTGATATTGTAATCAAAATATGTCAACAAACATTAATGTGAATTGTGGATTGGTTTTTGGTTGATGAATAACTTACTAACAAGTAACAAGGGAATCTGGAAAGTGAATGTCTTGTTGTATAATGTTAAATATTTTTCCTATACTTTGACAATTATTCGTTTTTTTTTGTTTGGAAAATAAAATAAAATAAAAATTTATAAAAAATGGCAAATCAATATAAAGGATGTTGTGTGTCTATTAATTGTGTGGATGGTTCAGTTGTTCAAGGTGAAGTGAGTGGTATGTCGGATGACAATGAAACTCTAATCTTAAAACGACCATTTAAAAATGGTATACCTCATACAGAAAAAGAAATTCGTTTGAAGTAATGCTATAATACTACAAAATGAATTACTCAGATACATATTTTATTTTATTTTTAAAACTAGAGCCTCGATGATAGAGAATCTAAAGATTATAAAAGCACAGCTAGAAAATGAACCAGTTACCAATAATAGCCAAGTAGCCAAAATTAATAAAAAAAATGTGTCAGTACCCAAAACAAACAATGTCAAGCAAAAGAATAAAGCAAAAAATGCTTCAAATTCTGAATCTGGTTGGTATATTTAATGAAGTTTTTTAATGCCTACTTATTAAGAACAATACAAATGTTGAAATAATATCTCAAGAAAATTAAAATAACTAATTATTATCTAATATTTTTTAATAATGTATTGTACATTAAATATTAGCTATTCTATGGAATATTATGCAATATTCTTTAATTTATTACACCAATCTTAGAATAGATCTATTTATTATTGAATAATATAATTTTATGCTTATTTTTATCTTATTATCTAGAACAACCACCTCAGAATTTTACAAACCATAAAGAACGAAATGATGCCTGTTTTGGTGTATCACTTGATACAATTGTCAAGGAAGATTTTGATTTTGAAAAAAATTTAGCTTTATTCAATAAAAAAGCTTTTTATAATAAAATTCACAAAAAACCAGATCTTGTTCCGCATGAAAAAGTTTCAAATAAATATAAACATAATGAAAATGTATTACATTCTACTCCAGTCAAATTTAGACAAGTTACAGTTCCTTCACCTGCTATCAATGAATACATAACAGGTTAATTAAATATTATGTGTAATTCTTATAATTATTTCAATTATAAATTATCAATATTATTTTTTTATTTCAACCACTTTTAGATGATGGACTAGTTGTTCCAAGTATAACATCAGAATTACGATGGAAACTATTTAATCTAGTGGAAGAGAATGGTTTAACTACAGGACGTCAAAATGAGATAATTGGAAGAGCCGCTACTGAAATGGTGTTGCAACTTTTGGGTGGAGGTTATAGGTAAAATATATCATAAAAAATTATTTATCTTAACAAAACAATTATTTTGTTTTTCCAAATGTGTAGATTTAATCCCAGAAATGAACACCAATGGCCTAGGGTAGTAGTTTTATGTGGACCTAATCGATCAGGTGCTATGGGTGTAAATTGTGCAAGACAATTAAGCAGTTATGGTGTTCATACTGTAGTTGTACTTTCTGAACCAGGATTGTATACACCACAGTTGGCTAATGAAATGGCTTTATATCAATTTACAACTGGTACACTTATTACTAGTGCAGCAGGTAATTGAATTAAACCAGTTTTTTCATATTAATTATTATTAATATTATGAAAAACTACTAAAATAAATATAAATGTTAACGAGTACCATATATAATAACTTTCCTAAAAATTATATGTAATTTTTATAGAATTTAAATAATGTATTTTTATAAAACTAATTTATTATTTATAACTTGTATATTAATTTGTTTCATTAATCTCCACAGCTCAGTTGAGTTTTTTCAAAAAAATAAATATTTATTATGTTAGTAAAAGGAGATATTTATGTGTATAAATTAATATATATAATAATTTTTTTTTTTTAGAGTTGCATGGTTTATTAGATCCAGATTTTGTTGTAGTATCTTTGGCTGATGAACAAACTGATTCTGTATCCCGAAATATAACTAATTGGGCTAAATCAGTTAGATCACCATTAATGGCTATTGATCCTCCATCACAAGGTACACCTTCAGTAGTAGTGAAATATTCTCTAGTACCTGCATTACCTTTATCTTACAGTGAATCAAATGGTAAAATTTATCTTTGTAATATGGGTATACCTACTCAAGTATTTCATTTAGCTGGAATCCAGTATAAATCACCATTTGGTTCTAAATCTGTAATACCCTTACACAATAATGAATGATTTATTATGATATGAATTATTATTTGTTTTTTGACGAATCCTAAAAGAAGATTTTAATTTAAGTACTTATATGTTTTGTGTCCAATTTTTTTTTTTTTAAATGTCTTTAAAATTTATTCAAATACCATTTAATAGTTATTCGATTTGAATCATTTACTATTATACATCTTATATTTTAATGATTCATTAGCATGTTATTGATATGTCGATAATAAGTCTACCCGTCAATTTTTAGTGAATTTTTTTTATATTATATCTATTTTGTGTATCATATTGTCTGTTTATGTACCCTGAACTGATATTAAAATTCATAAGAGTATTTAAATTTTCAATTCATTTATATATTGTATATATTGAATTGATTTATATAATGAAAATATGTTAGTTATTATTATAATAATAAATATATTTATAATGTATATTATTTTTTTATAAAATTTTTTATTTTAATTTGTAATTCAACTTTTTTAACATTGCATTTTGTAGACATTATGTTCATATTCACCTAAATAATTGTTATTATATATTAAATATATATATCCCATCATCATAATGTACATTAATTAAATTAAAATCTAGTATAATTGGCAAATTATGATAAATTGTATTGGACTATTTTTAATAAAAAAAAAAAAAAAAAAACAAAAAAAAATTGAACTTGAATAATATAATGTGTGTATAATACTTATTGAATTTACCCATAATTTCTTATTCAAAAAGCGATTATCGTATTTTAAGATAAGTTCATTGTAAAACATTTATTCCGTCTTAAACGCTAGATATTAGTTACCAACAATACAATTTTATTTTTTTGCACATTATTAAACTTTGTAGGAGTTTATAATCTAAATATTATTATGGAAACCTTTTCTCTACATCCATTGCATAGTACACACCAATTTTTAAACAAATGCATCAAAAAAATCTTTGGCACATAACTATTCAACAATGTAGTAAAAGTACACAAAAAAGAAAATTTTATTTTAGAAATACATTAACTCTCAAAATAAAATTTAGAATTGTTGTTATTTGAATTATTTTTATTATATATAAAATTAAACCAAAACTAAAAATTATTATTTTGTAAATTAAAAAATTAAATTGCATATATTTTTTTTAAATGAATGAAAAAAAATTGATTTTTATGCAATTCAATAAGTTTTTTTGACTCATTGGCTTTTGCTGTAAAAAAAGCTACATTCAAGTATGTTGAATAAAACAAGATACTAAAGATGATACAGGATTTTGAGACAGTATATTTTAGTATATAATAATTAATATTACTAAAAAATTAATAATCTAATTAACAAAACTTAAAATAATTAATATTTGATTAGTTGGTTTTTTCCTAGGATTTTTGAAATCATAAAACTTTGTGGATAAAAAACACTTACACTTTGGAGTTAAAATCTAAAGTAGTATTTACCAATCTATAGATCACAAAATATTTTTGATGGGTTATTTGTAAAAAAATAACAAGGAAAATATCTTAATTATAAATATAAAAATAATAATTAAATACAAAAATAACTTTAGCTGTGATTTAATTAAAATTTTTTAAGTTATGTTTTAATTAATACTTCTTCAAATAATAATTAGAACCATATTATATAGTATATAAAAACATATTCAAAGTAACTTTTGCATTATATTATAATTGGTAATTGAATATTTATTGACTTTGATAAATGCGATAATGTGGGTTAGTGGTATCATTGTGTCATAAATGCTCATAAAGTCATAAATTGATTGTCCATACAGTTGAGCTTGAACAGTAGTATATTGAGACTATGAAAGCTCAATATAATTAATTCTATTATTGTATTATGTCATTTGTATTTTGAAAAATATCTAAATATTTTAATCTAAAAAAATAATCTTTGTATTTAATTAACAGAATTAATAACTCATTATTATATTATATTAAAGTAAAAAAATTTCTTATAATAAAAACGATTATTACTAGTACTATATTTTGACACACATTTATTTTTTCATGAAGGTGAGTTGAGTAATTTATTTAAAAGTGAGTAAATTTATGGGTAACTAAAATAAAAAAGTTGGAAAAACCTACTCTAAAGTAAGTTTAAGTATGTGGAATGTTGAACATTATTAATAAGGAGTTAGTCAGTTTTGAAGAGATCAAAAATTAATATTTGTGGGTAACTAATTTAAAAAAGCAAAGGAAATTGGAGAAGGGGTTAAGATAAAATCTCAATATTTATGTAAAAATATTTTATGAAAGGTTTTATTAATATGTAATGATATGGACATGAAAGTAAATGGGGCGATAAAATTACAAAAGGAAATGTAATAGGGTTATGAGAAAAAGTGTTAATTTAATAAGTTTGTTGATTTTATATAGTTAGAAGAAAAAGATAAATATTATAAACTCAGACAATGAATAAGTTAAAATCAAGAAAGTTTTAAATTAACAAGTAACTATTTTAAATCGTAATAATTATTTGTTTTATACAACTTAAAAATATGTGTACCTATTTATAAAATTCAAAATTAAATAATATGTTTAAAATCAAAAACTTTGAATTTAAAGTAATAGATTTTATTTCATAATATTGATATATTCAATAAATTTAATATTTGGTTATTTTTTTTTTGTTTTAATATTTTATTACATTGAATTAAAGCATTTGAATTCTAAGAGTTAATTATAGGTAATTAAATATTATTAATTAAAAACTTTTTACTTCATTTTTGTTATTGTTAATGAGAATATGAAACTTATCTACAAAATATTTTATATCATGGTTACATACATGACATCCATAATAAAAACAATTAAGTAAATAGTTTTTGTTATAAAAAAGTAAATTTAAAATAAATATTTTGTCAATAATAATTTTAAAAAATGTACATAAATTAAAAAATTATTATTAATTAAAATTTACAAATTAATTATAGTAAAAAAAGTAATACATATTTCTGAAATATAAATTAATAACATTAAATTATACAAAATAAATCACAGACAACTGTTATAAAAATATTACTTGTAGGAAGTTTGTTTCAAAAATTTGTTACTGAATTCACCCTGGAATAAAAGAATAATACAAAAAGTTAGTAATGACTGTACCATTGATGGTTTAACAGTGATTGATCATTATAATTATTTATTATTGATTAATAAAGCTTAGATTTTATATTAAATGTATTGGGCAAGAAAATTAACGGAAAGATAGTTCTCATTTATAGATATATTTTGAATGAAATAATCTTTATTTGCTAGTTGTTGCAACATTTTTATTATTTATCATAATTATTAAAATAATTTATAATAATTGAAATTATTTGAAGTATTTCTTGTTACTTTAATATTTTTTTATAAAATATAGCAACACACTAGATCTTATAAATCATCAAGATATTTTTAGTTAAAAAAATGAATTACTTCCATAAAATTTAATTGAGTATTTATGCTATTAATATTTTTATAATCAGTAAATCCTAAAACTCAGAAAAAATAAAAATAAATGTAGATATATTTTATGACTTACTCTTGGTTATTAAAATAAAATCCAGATTGATCATTCATTTTTTTTACAATGATAAAAGAAAATAAAAAAACTAAAATTCCAAGTACAAATATTATAATTTGTAATTTAAGTGATTGCCTGAGAAACATACGAATCTGCACTTCGTGCCACACAGATTCTGTCCATGTTGAATATTCTGAAGATGATAAATCATAATCTGAAAATAATTTATAAAACACATATATTGAAATAATTAATCACACAATTTATATGAATAAAAATAGGAAAATAAAAACATACCAGGTATAATAAACGCAGGACTAACCGCATCAGTAACATTAGATGTTGTTGAATAACATGCATTATAATTTCCTCTTAACCATATAGGAACAAAACCCTTTAAAACATACATTTAAAATAAAAATTATTGTATAAATAAAAATACATAATCATTAAAATTCATAAATATTTTAGTAATTTTAGTACTTTATGTTTTTTATAAATCTTTTACTGTAATCAACAAAAGTTCTTGATTTATACATTTTCCAGGCTCATATTACACATTTAAAGAATGGGGCCTTCACATTCTACTAAGTGTGTATTTTAATTTTAGTGGGTACAAGATATAAAAATCATAACATAATTTTAAGAGTCCATTTAATTCTTACTATGTTACTCAGTAATTTTTAACAAATGATGAAGTTAAATAACTTAAGAGACTATGACACCATATAACTTGTTAACTATTAATAAAGGTATAAATAGAAAGTTATATGATAATCCAATTAAAATTTAAGTAAATTGATTTATTAAAATAAATTAAAAATATTGTATAATTATATTGAATTGATTTTAAACAGAAAATTTTACCATATAATTTTAATAATACTTTAGGAGAACGTCACACCCATATGGCATATGTGTTGTCACCTTTTTACATACATACGATATAATAAACTTCCGTTCACCAGTTTTATTTGTGTGTTTTTATTTTTGATATTATAGTGATTTGACCTGTTATCCAACTTTTAAGTAAGAACATTATCTGTGTTTTCTAGTTGGTTTTTTATGATATTTTAATTTTTAAGTAAGTTATGAGTATGAAAAATATAAATATTTGAAAATGCTTATAACTCATTTAAAAATTAAAATATCATTAAAAACCAACGAGAGAACACAGATAACATTATTTTATTACCTAAAAGTTTGATAACAGGTAAAATTGCTTTAATATCAAAATTAAAAGCACACTATTGAAACTAGTTAACGGAAGTTCACTATGTCGTACGTGTGTAAAACAGAGACAACACATGCAAGTGCAATGTCCTCTTAAGCATTTTAAATTAGTTAAGTAAAATAAAATATAATTTATATAGGAGAAATAGACTGCCAAATTAAGTGTAAAAAATTGTGACAAGTCAATGTAATGCATACATTTACTATTTACATACACGTAAATATATAATAAATATAAATTCTCAAATTTTTTTTTTTATGAGACTTACTCATACTTTTCATACATTAAGTTCATATATATTGTTTATTAAAAAGTTACAAACCTGCTTTGTTCTATAATT